ATTTTTATTCAATTTTTTTAATGTGTAAAATAATATCGCCATAATAACAAAAACGCGTTAAGCTGCCAATTTACTTTTTTGTTTCAATCGATTCAAAGTAAGAAAATACCTACATGACCTCTATTTGAGCTTTGAAATTGTATGTCTAAGGTGAGCGAAGTATTTTTTCCGAAAATAAGGTGTTTTGCGCCACTGTACGAAGATGAGTTTGTTTATTGTAGCATTACTTTATATTGATTAATTTTTTCGCCGCTCTAGCTCATTACATTTATACAAATTTTGTTTTATCGTGAATTTAATCGATTTAAATACTCATAATCTTTCGAATACTGAATTTTTCCATTTTTTTTTTCAGTGAATTTGTGAGCATCTTCGACAGTTATGCCCCCAAAACGAAAATCGATTGGTCGATCTACAGCTCAAGCACGAAATAAAAAGACATTGCGAGCTACAGAAGCAGGCCATCAAAATGAAGGAAGATTAGAAGCTGCTCGAATACTATCTGTTCAAGCCCGTTCTTCTCAAACGAACGAGCATCGAGAATGAAGTTTAGAAGTCGATCTAGAATATACTACTCAAGCCCTTTTCTAACTTACGAGCAACGAGAATTAAGATCAGAAGTCGATCGAATCAGTGCTGCTCAAGCTCTTCTCAAACTCACGAGGATCGAGAATGAAGATTACAAGTCGATCAATTATGTAGCGCTCAAGCCCGTTCTTCTCGTTCGAATGAGCAACAAGAATTAAAATTAGAAGTCGATGGACTATGAACTGTTCAAGCCCGCTCTTCTCAAACGAACGAGCAACTAGATTTTAGATTAGAAGTTGATCGATCACGCAATGCTCAACCCATTCAAATGAAACAATTGACTTACGGAGATCAAGACAGGGAATCAATCGAGAACGGAGTTAAAGTCTTCATCGAAGTGCCATTATTGGAAAAATGGATAAGTTATGCGAATTTTGCCTTACATTGAAATTCAAGAATGAAACTCCAGGAATATGCTGCGCAGATGAAGAAGTGAAATTGCCAGAATTTCATTTACCATCTGAACCATTATCAACGTTGTTGGTATCAGGTGGCATAAGCCAGTCGAAACAGTTTTGCTAAACCTACGCCAGTATAATTCATTTTTTCAAAATCTGCAATATAAATCATACCTGAAAATAATTTACCAACGTGCTGAATCACTTCTACCACCACCAGATTCAGATCACAAATTTATTTCAGGGGAACCGCTGACGAACAAATTGATCAACGTTGTCAAAACCAGAACTAATCGAGAAATTGTTGCTGCATTACAAAATCTATTCGATCAACACAATGCATTAGTTCGACTGTTTTAGGAAGGCCCTCGAGCGAATGCCAGATGATGATTATTTTTTTGTCATTACAACTAACAAAACACCAGCCGGCCATTACGAAAGACAATTCAACGGACCTACAATTAATGAAGCAGCGATCATCGTAGTTGGCGAAGAATTTAACTGGTGTGATATAGTTCTTCATCGAAGGGATGGTAATGTTCAACGAGTCTCCGAAACTCTTCGCTCTTACGATGCATAGCAATATCCAATTTTATTTTGACCAGGAGAAGATAGATATCATTTCAACATCAAAATTAGAAATCCATAAACACATGAGGAGACCAATAAGAAAGTCAGTGATGATTACTATTTATATCGATGAATTACAATTCATATCGATTGATGATTCGTAGGAACACTGCCAATCATATTTTGAAATATTGGCAATTGTTCTATCAATATATTGTTGATATGCATGCAAGAATCGAGACCGAATCACTTATCTTCATTTGATTGAAACAAATCAAATTGCCCACAGAGGAATACATTCATTTACGCAGTACAGTTGCCAATGATGGGTATCCCAATGAATTGGGAAAAATGTTGATGTTGCCGGCTGCATTCAGAGGAAGCCCACGGCACATACATGAATATGTACAAGATGCAATGACTTATGTTCGCTCATACGGCCGCCTAGATTTGTTCATAACATTCACGTGCAGTCCTACGTGAGATGAGATTAAAGAACTTCTGTTGCCTTGACAATCCTCTTCTGATCGCCATGACATCATCGCACGTGTTCAAACAAAAATCGAAATTTGTAATGTATGTTGTCAAACATCCTGTTTTTGGGAAGAAACGCTGTTGGATGTATTCCATTAAATGTCAGAAAAGAGGATTGCCGCATGCACATATTTTGATTGGTTGATCGATAAAATAACACCAGAAAAAATTGACGAAGTCATCTCTGCAGAAATACCAGATATCGACATTGATATTCGATGCTGTTACCAAAAATATGACTTATGGTCCGTGTGGCGCGATCAATATTATGTCTCCGTGCATGAAGGATCGGAAATGGGGGAACGAAACGTTATCCAAGAAACTTACTCGCCGAAACTAACTCTGAATATGATGGATATCCACAATGTCGTCGAAGATGTGGCAAACTCATCACTCTAAAAGTGCACAACAATGACATTGAAATCGATAATCGTTGGGTTGTGCCTTATTCACCATTACTCTCAAAGACATTCAAAGCACATATCAATGTAGAGTACTGCATTCAGCAACTCGGTGAAATCGATCAAATACATTTGCAAATATATCAACAAATGAAGCTACATGGCAGTTTTTGAAATGAGAAATACATCGGCCTTAATCGAGGATATTGAACAATATCAATTAGGACGCTAACTAGCAAAGAAGCTAATTGGCGTATTTTCTCATTCCCAATCCATAAACGACATCCAACGGTTGTTCATTTGGCGGTTCATCTTGAAAACGGTAAGCAATTGTATTTTACAACAGGAGATGTACATGCAAGAGTATTTTCGCCAATGAAAACAACGTTAACTGCATTCTTTACATTATGCATTGATGATTTGATTGCAAGAACACTACTTTACTCAGAAATGCCAAAGTACTACACAAGGAAATCATCAGCGAAAATGTTTCAACGACGTAAAGAGGGCAAACCAGTTGAAAGACATCCGAATTTATATTCTTTCGGAGGGTTAGGCTGTCTGTATACAGTTCATCCAAATAATAAAGAATGTTTTTACTTATGATAACTGTTAGTTAACATACATGGACTGAAATCTTCCCAAGATCTGAGAACAGTACAGCGAAGTATGTGGAACATACTATGAAGCTTGCCAAAAACTAAATTTTCTTAAAACCGATACCCATTGGGACTTGGCACTTGCTGATCATCGAATACCGCTCAACCACAGCAAATATGCACGTTATTGCCGTAATATTGACAACGCGCTTTCCATCACATCCAAAAGATCTTTGGGAAAAATGCGAAGATTACATGAGTGAAGACATTCTACGTCGTTTGCGAACAATGAATCCGAACATGGAATTCTCACCAGAAGTGTATAATGAGGCTTTGTTTTTGATCGAGGATATATGTTTGGCAATCGTTAACAAAAGATATGTGGCATTGGCAATGTGTATCGTTCGACGAATAGCATTTATGATCGTGATTTGCAACGTGAAACACAATTCGTTGTCGATATATGGGTGCATTTTTAAAAAATAATAAAGAATTACGTTATTAAAATGGCGGATGGTACTTCATAGATGCGCCGGCAGGTACTGGCAAAATGTTTCTCATTTCAATCCTTTTGTCAACCATACGGCCTCGAAATAAAATTGCACTGGCAATTACATCATCTGGAATTGCTGCAATACTTTTGGATGGTGGTGGAACATCGCATTCAGCACTGAAATTACCGTTGAATTTGCAAACCACAGAGACGCCAACATGCAATATAAAAAAAAATTCCGATATGGGCAAAGTTCTCCAAACATGTTAACTTATCATATGGAACGAATGCACAATGGCTCACACAAAATCATTGGAAGCGCTTGATCGTCCACTGCAAAATTTATGGGGAAATGGACAGCTCTTCGATGGAGCACTCATCTTATTTTCTGGTGATTTTCGACTAACTCTATCAATCATACTGCATTCAACACCTGCTGGTGAACATAATCCATATCTCAAATCATCGGTTCAGTGGCAACATGTGAAGAAATTGACTTTAAAAACAAATACGCGTGTTCAACTACAAAAAGACGCATTTGCTGAACGTCTCGCAAAACAATTGCTGGGTATTGGAAATGGCAAGATTGCGATCATCATGTATCACATTTCCAGTAAACTTTTGTTGGTTGACATCAACCAAAGAGGAATTAATTCGAAAGGTTTTCCCAGATATCGCTCAGAATTAAAAAAATAGCGATGTCAATGCCATCAATTTAAGTGTTCAAAATAGAATCCCAGGCAAAGCGACAACATATAAGTCTACAGATAGTATGCTGAATCAAGATAAAGTTGTTAATTACCCAGTGGAATTCCTGAATGCCACCGGACATTTTAACATTGAAAATTAGCTTACCTTCTCCTACATAAATCCACCACGGTTTTGCAACTGTAAAAGACTTTTGATGAAAGAGATAATGAAGAACGTCATCGAAGCGAAAATTTCGTATGGGAAGTTGAAGGGAGAAGAGGGGTTGCCACTCATTGATCCCACCATGATACCAAGAGACATACCAATTGAATGTAAACGCCTACAGTTTCCGGTGCGACTTGCTTTTTCAATAAGCATTAGCAAAGCCAAGGACAATCATTGCAAGTGTGAGGTCTTCATTTGGAGAACCCGTGTTTTTCACATGGACAACTATATGTGACTACTTTACGCATTGGAAAACTATCTGATGTATTCGTCTACGCACCAGATGGAAAACAAAAAATATTGTGTATCCAAAACACTCAAATAATTAAGGTGGACTAAAATAAGATTTTGAAATGATTTCTATATGAAAAATGAAAGTTTAAATAAAACTGATTCCTAAATAAATTTCTTTGATTTCCTTTCTTCTTAGATCGCAGCAATGCACGAAGGCTAGCTTAGTCTTTAACAAATATATAAAAAGATGTAACTTCATTTTCAAATATTACATTATATTACATTTCGAGGAGTTGCTAGTTTGATTGTTTCCTTGAGGTGGTGTTTGTTCACTATCACTTGGAGATGCCTCACGTTGTACGCCTCTTTCATGAGTCAATTGTTCATCTGCAAATACCACTCCACTTCTCCCTGATGAAGATGCTTTAACATCTTCAAACGTTACTTTACTTTTCGCTGATGATGTTTGTTCTTTGACATCTTTAACACCTTGCTCATCACTATAAACACTTGGTGTTTGTTTCTCATTAGGTATGACGTCTTGTGTTACATTAGTTAGCGAAGCATTCACTTCAGTGTTCTTCTGAAACAAATTATAAGTTAATGAAAATATAGTGCCTATTGAACATAGTACAACTTCATTATTAAAACTGTTTGTAATTTTGTTCAGGACTTATCCTTTATTAATTCATGTGTTTCGCATATTGTCATGACGAATGGAAATATTTTCCTAGAGTCAAAAGTAGTTAGCTTTAACATCTTAATCTAGTTATTAGAAAATTGGAAGTTTAATTTACAAAAAGATAACTTTCTGCCCTAATTTTTTTTTTACGAATCCCTCCCTTTTCCATCCTAATTCTACCGTCATATAAAAGTTTGGTGTTCATCAATAAATTTGTCATTTAAAAATCTAAAAACCCAAACTTTGCTTGTATTACCGTGTTATTGCAGTTCCCGAAATGTACTTTAATCCAAAATTCAATCACGCTTCTTGATGGCCAAAGGATTAAAAACAAAAAATATTCAGGTTGGGTAGCAGGTAACTTAAGAACAAAGGGCTGTGGAAGGTCTTGTCTTAGAGTAACTGGTAACGAGTAAAGGGTTAAGTAACTGTTTCCCTTCAGGGTGTGGCCAATTAAAATAATTTTTACATCCGCCGAAGTTAAGAACCAATCAAAATCATCCTTGCTACGCCCTCAATATTTGTATAAAATCAAGAAGTAAGGAAAGGAGAACTTATGTCTTTTTCCGTCCTTGGGGACTGAAGAGGCAGATTGGCCTACACAGACCGCGGAGATGGAGGTCTTGTCAGAGTTTGGACCTGGGCTTGACGAGATGCCTCGAACGATTAGATGCAACGACCAACACAACCTATTCACACCATACTTAGAGCCGCAGATAAGTTTTAATTCCCAATAATAGATTTACTAATGTTATTATATTTCATGGTATAATTCTCAAAACACTACATCTGAAATCATACCTTCATAAAGTCATTATTAAATTCATTGAATCATGTTTTGATTTAAATTATTGTAAATAGTATTTGTTAGAATTATTAATATTATTCTTTATTAAACATAGAAATAAATTAAGTTTTTGTAAAGTTATTTTTAATTGTGTCACCTATTTATATCGTGATGTTCACAGGTAATGTTAGTAATTAGAAAGCATAATAAACACCAACCAGCCTTTGAGAAAAGAAATTCAACTAATTAATCCCGGAGCAATCAATATATTATAGATTCAAATTTGTTTAACTAGTTTTTTGTTGTGGGTGAATATTATGGATGTTTCATTCACTAGGCAAGTGGCAATTCTTTCGATTCTTATTCCTGGTCCTAATAAGGAAATCTCCTGTAAAGTGCAATACTTTATTAATTATTTCCCATAAAATTTCTTTTCTTGGTCTAATGTCGTGCGGCTACGAGGTCTGGTTAACAACGTTGTACCCTAATTGCATTTATTATATTCAGGCACCCTCACACTTCATGCTGTCCTGCGATATGAACATGGTTTCTTGACAATTTTTTATAGTTACTACTACTTTAGTATCTTTCTTACCGCGGAATATACCCAATCGCTTTGAACAAAATATCGCCCTTTGCAATAGATTCAAATAATAATTATTGTATCTATGTAATCTCTTAGTGATTTCCTCAACGTCATCTTTTTAGTTTGTTTTATGTTAGTTTATGTTAATAATGGAAGTAAGTATTTATAAGTAAGAAAACCATTTTAAAAAAAAAAATCCTAACGGCCATAAACTGAAGTTCTATTTATAAACTAAAACGTATACAACTGTTTATTCAAGCTATTCCTTCCTGATCATAACGAAAGATAGATATATACTGACCGGTTCTTTATCTTGAGATTTCACATCCTTCAAGGTTTGCTCCATATTAATTATTTCTTCTTCGCGATTATCTGGATCAAATAATCCCAACACGTCGGTCCCCTAAAACAAAATAATAAATAACTCAAGAGGACTAATGATTTCAGGAAAAAATGAGGTGCGGAGTATCATAAAATTTTAATCACAATAATCTGAACTTCTCACAATGAAACTTTTCTCAAATTTGTATTAATCTTTAAGCATAACATTCTATAACAAAATTTAAATTAATTTTTGTAATATCTGCAGTCAATGACCATAGGCGCAGATTTTGGAGAAGATAAAGCGCGGCGAGGGAAGCAATGGCCCCCCCTCAATATTTTTATTGTTTTCATAATTACAATATTTTTCGAGAATATCGCTGCGCCTAGAAGTAGGTACGTTACTATTTTCTCACGACTTAAATACACCTATTATTTAAATTTTCATTTATATTCAGGATTCATTCATTAACATCATATTCTAGGATTTCATAATTCATCCACTTCTTATGTACTCTCCTTCCTTTTCACGTGATATTCTTGTCACGTTTTTTGCGGCAATGTTGAAAAACTATATCTAATAAATATAGGTACAAATATATTTTATGTAGAATGTTTTAATAGATATTTTTATTGAGGTTGTATAAACTAATAAATCAAAAATATTTTTCAGTTTTTAACAGTATTCAGTTTAATTGAAGAGAGAACTACAATAATTTTTCGCGCCTGCAGAACTGTGTTGAGTTGCTAAATCATACAGCTACATCAATCACTTAACAGATAATATTTTATTTAAATAAAGAGAGAGAGTTATGAGGGATCATTGTAATATCCAATATGCCAAGAACGGTTTACAGAATCGAATAAGCGAAAGGCAAGATCAATCAATATATGTTAGTCATGGAGGATTTTCAATGAGTCCAAAATAATAGTTTCTGTCATGGCATCTGCTGCTCCCTTCCAATACCGAGCTAGGGCCAAACGTTTAAAAAGAACAGTTTTTTTTCTTTAGTTCATCCGTTTGTCACTAGTCGCGTTGCTGTTTGATCGGTTTTTCATTTCGTTTTTTCCAAACGAAACAAAAGTTCTTTCTGCTTTCCAAGGAACCTATCAGTTCATCATGTCAATAACTCAAACAGTTTTTTCTTTTATTAGACAGCATTTAGCTCCCATAATTAATGAAGGCTAGAAATAAATAAAAACTTTCATTATAGTTACATTACTAAATTAACTTGAGTGTATTTGTAGGCAAAATTAGTTTAAGATTTTAGATGTATCTATCTATATTAGTGTTTTGTAGTCAGAAAATAATTTTTATGATTGAATATATTCACATAAATCAATTTAATTGCATGAATATTTTTTTAAAATTATTTTATTGAAATTTACAACTGTAAACATATATACAACCAGTAAATTTGCTATAGGAATATATTATATGAAGATACTTGTGAAAATCTACCCATTGATAACACTTGATCTACACAAGATAAATTAAATTAGGAGGTTCCTTGACCATCTTCTTTTCAGGCGCATTGGAGGGTTGTCAAGAATTGTGTTGGTTGAAAGTTTAAAAAATAAAGGATTGGGGTGACCAAAGAGTTTGGAATGAAAAGAGTTATATCTATTTCGGGCCAAGTCTTCCACTAGAGGAATGTTGAAGTCTTTATGGAAAATTTTATTTGTTACATAATAAGGAGCATTTAGGATTTTACGGAGGATATTGGATTGTAAGGATTGGATACCGGGAGAATTTGATGTTTTTGTAGAGCCCCAATGCTCAATAAATAAAATTAAACACTATTATGTTCTATAAAAATTGAAAAAGATAAACGATTGAAAAATTGTTTAAACTACAGTTAAAAGACTCATGATGACTAAGTAGCATAACTCCAAACTTCGAACATACAAGTAAATCAAAATATTAAAATGTTCCATGTGTAAAGAATAGTTTTTAGTTTTAATTAGTAAAAAAGAAATGTTTAAGATTAAACATTCATGTAATATTACAAATAAATTGAAAGGTTATCAATTTCAAACTCGAACAATGGCAAACTTCATACATAAAATGATTTTTTCATTTCTAGACTTGTTATTAAACGAATAGGTATTACTCCATAAATAGTTGCGTTGTTCCATGAACTATTTCTTTTCAACAGTTCTTCAGAACTGTTGTTTTTTGCCAACGAACAGTTCATTTACGTTTTTCAAAATTATCAGAAACCCCCACCTCTACAACGAGCCTCTGCAAGAAATTACTTGAAGTAAGAGCGATGGTTTCCCAATTTCCGAACCACAGTCCTTTAAATGAAAATATCCTCTCGCTGAATTCATCTCTACACTTCTCCTTTAAGTAAAGTATGTATTTCTTATAGATATCCTCCTTCTCTGCCTGTATCTTGAATTCTTGATCCTGATCGTTTGTTTCAAATCTGATCGTGAGATCCACTATGAGTGCCTCCTTTTACTTAGCATTGAACGCTACAATGTTAACGAACCTTGTTGAACCTACCGTATCCAGGCAATAAATGAACCTCGAGGAAACATTTAGACTTCTTCATTTGAAGAAATTGAATTGAAGATACTTTATACCATTGTACCGGCGGGTGACGAAGAGCGTACAACAACAATACATGAGCTGGGGTTTCTAACTCTCGGTCACATTTGCGAAAGAGGGATCAAACATCTCCGTTATCCTGGCTTCCGGTCCCTGGTACACCGCGGAGAGGAGCCTGATATTCAATTTCATGGCGTTCTCTCGTATATATTGGATTGGAAAATAAGTCCTTTGGGTTTTTCTGCTTATTTTTATGTCACTATGATACACTTCTTATCTGATGAATTAAGCCCTAAGGTGGATTGTTTATCCTGTTTGTAATATGTCAACAACTAACTATATATGTTAACTCTTGTTGAAACTAGTTTAGTATTGTGTTTGCTATTTGCACTCTGAATATGGAAGAAAATATCATTTATTACCGGCATATTTTGTTGTATTATTTTAAAAAAGGTAAGCGTGTTGCAGAAACTCATAGAAAATTTGCAGTGTTTATGGGGATGATGCCTTAACCAAACGCACCTGCCGAAATTGGTTTGCCAAATTTCATTCAGAAAATTTTGACATCAATGATGCTCAACGGTTGTCCACATGGAACTAAAACGAGCAATGTAATGGCCATTCTTGATCAAAATCCCACTCAATTAGAGCGAGAGATTGCCATGGCCTTAAATTTGTCGCGCACAAGCATAGAAAACAATTTGCATAAGCTCGGCTATGTTTCCAGGCTTAATGTTTGGGTCCCTCACATCATTTTTTTTTTTTTTTTCGAAAATCACAAGAAATGTTATAACTTCAATACGACTTTATCTATCTACAAGAAATTTAGCATGGATTCAGGGCCACAGGGATTACACAAAATGACATCAACAGGACATTCGTAAACAAACTACAAATGGAGATAAAAAATAAAAACCTATAAGGAGATTTGTTTATTTCTTCCTTATGTAGGCATTAAAAAAAAAAAAAATCACAAGGCTTTGAAGAGTGATAATTCAGCTTTCCAACGGATATAGTAACATCGAATTTGGAGAACATACTGAAGAGTTCTGAATGATCGGAAGAGTTTTCTATTCCACCAAAACTACGCCAGGTGTAGCAACCACATCTCATTGCTCACTCGCAATAAATTATTGAGTCTTGGATGGGACCTTTTGCCCCACCCTCTCTATTCACCAGACCTAGCTCCAAGTGTCTACCACTTATTTCGGTTACTGCAAAACCCCATGAATGAAAAGAAATTCCAAAATGAAGAGGACATCAAAACTTATTTGGATCGGTTTTTTAACAATAAACTGCAGACATTCTATGAATATGGCATTATGCAGTTAGTAGTAGAAAGATGGGAATAAGTCATATTAAATAATGATCAATATATTTTAGACTAAAATAAATTTGATGTCTATAATACATTGAGTTTTATTTCATCCGGAAAAACCGAAAGGACTTATTTGCCAACCCAATAAATGTATTGGCCCATGGATTCCCTTTAAATTTAGACTCACCAATTCCTTGCCACCTGCACTTGCTTCAGTCATTAAAGGACTTTTCTTGCAGGGATTGTCTTAATTTTCTAACTGTTAGCGAGTTCCATATTAATCGCTTCAATCCCTGATAGATCCGCACACTCTCTTACTTCATCGCCAAAATGGAAAGTCGCCTGAAACAGAGCATCTGGGACATTTGTAATAGAAATGTGGCTATGTAATATATACTGTCCTCTTATCCCCATTTTAAATGTACGCAAATATGTAATATATATTTTTGCAGATATTTTAAAAAATACAAAAAATCTTACAAACATACAAATTTATTTTTGTATCTCCAGTTTAATTCGTTTCACAATAATTACGTTGAATTTTTACGTATAATATGAACTCTCGGTCATTTTATTTTTTTGGTTCATCGTCCCCTCTCCCTAATCAAAATGGAAAATCTACGCCTATTTCATAAACCACCGGATACTTATTAACTACAAGACATTCAACTTTATTTCCAAGCTATTTTTTCCAGTCAAGAACTAAAGATATATACTGACCGCTTCTTCAGTTTGAGGTTTGATATCTGTCATAAGTTGCTCGACATCAATTATTTCTCCTTCACCGTTATCTGAATCAAATAACCACGACTGGTGGGATCCCTAAAACAAAATAACATAAGGAAACTGAAAATTTCAGAAGAAAATATACTGCGATGTGCTACATAACTTTCATTTCCCATCCTACTTGAATGGAAAGTAATTTCTTTTAAAGTTATAATAAACCTTAAGAATTTTACTATATATCCAATAATATTTAGTTTCATTGGATTTTTGGTTATCTTTACTGTATATTACATATGTAGTTAAGAATAATGAATACATTGTGCTAATAATATAATTTATTTTTCGCTTTATGTGATTAGGAAGAATAGTTTATAGTTTGAAACACTAGCGGATCCAGAATTTAATTTTGGGCGGGAGAAGGCTTCAGCCCGAAATTTTTTTTTCATATATACAATAATTAATTTTTTTAAAAAAGAAAGAATTAAATTAATTATAAAATAATTAAATAAATGGTATTTAAGTGATTCTTGAAGTCCTTTTAAATTTAATTATACGAATAATAATACTTTAAGAGATAGCTTTTAGTATTTTTTTTCTATAAAACATGGATATATTTTACCATTTTTGGCGAGGGATGTGGGGGGCTTCAGCTCCAAAGCGCTCTTCTTCCCCCATAGATCCGCTTGTGGTTTGAAAAGTCAAATTGTTTTCGTTTTTTTCATTTATAACCAATGAGTCAATATAAAAGTACTTAAGAGGTTAAAATCACAGAGTTGAAAAAGATGTGAATAGTGAGAAATCGGTATTTCTTTTTACTTCAATTTCCTTTCTAATATTGCTTCGTGCTAAAACTACTTTTTCTTTTTCGACAAACAATTAATGTAGATCGAAAGTAAAAGTTAGAGTGAGCGATGTCCAGAGAAATAAACAATGTGGAATTACAGCGAGACAGTTCTTCAACTATTAATGGAGGAAATAATGAATGAGCTATCATTGGTGAAAAAGTTCATCATCAGCAAGCCCAAGAATACAAAAAAAAAAATAATAATAATAAAGCAACAATAGATATGATCCTTTATCAAAATAGATCTACAGGAGATGCCGATAAACCATCAGAACCAAAGAAAACAAATTTTATCTGAAACATTATTATTCCTGTATTTAGTGTTCCTTTTATTTATTTTTTTATTGGTCTTTAAGAACCACTCATTTTATATAATTTGATTCTTTTTCATTCATTTTTTTTTTTAAATAAGAAAAATCAAATCCTAGATCTGCTGTCAAGTACAAAGGTGTCAGTAATCAGCTGACTTTGAACTTTCTTAATATTTTAATTTAGTAATTGGGACACGCACATTCTTTGAAGCTTACAAACATTTACAAACTTATTAATCAAATATCACAAATTATTGTATATAGGTATGTCTGCGGTTTTTAATTTAATTATCTTTGTTATTTCATTTTTTTCATTGTATATACTTTTTTAACGATGTTGTGTTGTTGATTTAATGAGGTGGGTCGAAACGTCGGCGAAACAATTCAAAATACTAATTTTTTTTTAATTTAGTATTTATTTGACCGCACCCTCCGACCAACTCCTTCTCATGAATTTTTTCCTCCTTCTCATGAAACTTTATTACCTATATATGAAATATATAGCATAGAACAGTAATGCGATCGTGAAAATTTTGGAATCTGAGTGTTCAACGGAAACACATGTTTTGAAGTCTCCTGAGTCGAAATAAACAAGTCTCGCAAAATGGTCTGCGTGTGTGTATGTGTTAGCGTGTGTTTGTATGGATGTGACGAGTCTAACTCGAAAACGAAAAGTCGTATGAAAGTCCAATTGCGCATTTGAGGTATGTCTATACTTCTGATGTTACAGGAACTTTTTCGTCAAAATCGTCAAACGTCGGAAGTGACACTTTATATTATCGATGAAACATATTTTTACGATTTACTCAAAAACGGCTCCAACGATTTTGATCAATCTCGGTATATCAGTGTAAAATTAAGCAGTTTTTAATATTATGTAGGTTTTATTCTCATTGATGTTCTCTTACAGGGCTTAAATGGCTAATTTTCAATGTTAGCTTCCTCTAAAGTGCCTTTATTTTTTTTATTTGAAACAACTAACCATTTCACATTGATCTCTAATATAAAAAATCGTTGAATATAAAATATTTAAAAAATTGATAATTAACTAAAGGAGAAATAAGAGATCGTAAGAGAGAACTTTTGTAATGAAATAACCAAAGGAATGCCAGAGAGCGTCTGAGCTCTCCCGAAGATTAGAACTGGCTTTCATACGTAACATGAACTTAATATAATACCGATTCTGACAATATTATGTACATATACATATGAGGTTTTTCTAAATGTTTTCGTTGGTATTATTTAATATTTAACTGTATAGATTACAGCGATATAAATATTAAAATTGGTGTAAAAAGTTAAAATAAGCCTACTAAAACAAATAAAAATATCCACTATGAAATATGAATGAATATAGCGCTTATAATTTTTATTTTCTCTTCTCCTTTTTCTGAAAATACTTATTACTACTAAGAACATGGTGGTAAGTGAAAGCTGTGTGATCCGCGCTCCGCAACATATTTTTATTATTCAGTTGTTATTTTGCTTTTATTTATTTTATGTTTTATATATTTGTAAATGTATTCTCACCGCATTATAATTATGACGTCCGTGTGACAGAATATTATATGACTGAATAAGTAAATTTAAAAAAAATATATATCACAAATAACTTGTCTTAGCCGCTACTTAGTTAGTTAATTAATTAGTTCTCTCACTGTTGGCTACCTTTCAGTCTTCTTTTGGAACACTGGCGGACTACTTTGACATAAAATGGCACTGGAAATTTATGTTTATCAGAATCGTATTGATTTTGTACTACTGACGAAAATACATCTAACATCACGCAACAAACTCTTTCTACCAATCTATACTTTATATAGCACAGATCGTCCAGTTAATACCGCCCATGCAGAGACGGTTATTTTAATAAATGCTAACTTAAAAAATTATCCCAAACACAAAATTTCCAACATCATACTTCTAATCCCAATTATTTAGACTGATTACGAAGTCGCCACCATATGTTCCGAACGAGGCCCTTTAAACAGATTTAGCCTTTTCGAATGCGGCTAATGACATGCCAATGAATTGCTAACAGTTTTATGACAAATTACATGGACATATCCGTGATATATCAACTAATTAATACATAATATGGGACCTGGCTTTTCTGAAGTACCAATAGAATTTCGTGTAGAAATTCATAGTGTTTCAGCAGGATGCAACACTGTGTACTGTCTTGCTCATGCGCATGTCAAGCATAATGTATATGCTGATTGGAAAAAGTTTACAAGCCTATATTTATTTATGTTTATAAGTATTTGAGTTAAAATAACATAATTTATTTATACATATAATATAGTAATAATATACTCACTCGCTTAATTTTAACATTGCTCGTTTGTGTTTGTTTCGAAGCGTAACCGGATGAACCAGCCTTTGGGTTTTCTTTCCATTCGCTGCATAAATTTCCTCTGTAACATGTCACGATTCTGGTAGTCATTTACTTTAATTATCATTCACGTGGCATATACATGTTAAAAAAAGTCTGCCAAGTTGAGCTCGTGGAAGCGGCAGCCAAACAAGCACTCACCATATTAACACCGCATGATACAAGTCTTCCCCTCACAACAGAAACAGCTGGCAATCCAAGTTGAATGAAAGCCCTCCGAGAAAATTGAAGAAAATAACTATTTTTTTATGATTTATTAGTATACTTCATATCTTAATGCCCTCTGCTATTTTCCATCGTAGCAGACTGTTTATATCAGTTGCAGACTACAAAATGTCACCTTTAGCTCAAATAGAATAAAATTTGAAATTTTTTACATATGACCTTTTGTATTAACAGTAGTAATGTGTGTACTTAATGGATAAGCTTTCACTCGTAAAATGGATGAAACATAAAATCCATAGGGAAAATTCAAGTTTTTGATTGTTCGGAGATAACGAGACCAATATTTTTTGTCAGTCAAAAAAAACTAATTAAGCTGAGCATAAAAATATGTTTGAAGTTCACACAACTTTGATATTTAAGGAGGAAATCGAGACACCGAGCTGATTGAACTTCAATAGAAATAAACACAATTACAAATAAGACTTTTTTTTTTAATAACTAGAGTAAAAATTAATCTACATTTACACGAAATCTAATTAACGGCAGTAAGTGTCATGCCAGTAACGTTTGGAATCGACCAAATAATACAGTATAAATTAACTTTTTGAATAAATCCTAAAATTTTATAAACCCATAAAAATATTGTGTTGACCTAACTCCAACTATATATGATCAGTTGGCAGGGTCGCAAGTTTTAGGAAAGGTACTTTGTCAAAGATGGAAACGCTGATGAATGAATACTAAACAAGTTTATATTGCTTAAATAAACTAAATAAATTTAAATAAACAAAATGCATACCTAATAGAAAAAATAATAATGGCAGTAAATAAGAAGATGATGACCGCAATAACGTGCATGAAGATCATTACTGCCATCCTGTATGAGTCGAAGTAATGGTAGTTGAAGAGCTGGATGATGAGGACTGTGCCGTAGAGAGTGAACCCGAGAACGGAATACACCAACTGCTACAAATTAATAATCATTTGTAAATATAATTTTTAAGTAAATGGTTTAATTATTAACTTTGGTTATTATTAATTACTTCAATTGAACAATTTTTAAATTACTATTGTTTTATTCCTTTGTGAACTAAAATGATTACTCCGGTATCATTTTGAAATGGAAGGAAGTATCGATATGATTTTTTTATAGACGCTACAGACCTGTAGATCTTTCACAGCGAGATATGGTATTCTAGACCACTCATCACTCATCACATACTCGGGGGAAGGGGGAGGAATCTCGGGCAGCGTGGCTTTCCTTGGTGGACGGTCACCCATCCACGCTCGGCGTTGCTTATCTTTGATTACCTATTGCAAGCGCCTTAGCCCGCAAGGCTACCACAACCCCAAATATATGATGCCTATAATCGCTGTTTGTTTTTTCTAGTTCAGAAGAGGATCCCTTTCTATGTGTAAGAAAAGAAGGGATCGAAGCGTTGTCAAATAAAACAGAATAAACTCCGAAATTGTAGTTAGTATATTTATTAACATTTTAATTCTTATCCGTTATGGTATTGGTGTAAATGCTTGTTGACAAAGTATTAATGAATTTTATATAAAATATTAATGAAATATCATCTTTGTTACCAACTGATACGGTGTTTCGTTTCCCATAATGTGGTCAAAAACAAAACCACCAGCCGTCAGAGAAAAGGCCGGTGCCGTATGATTGAACAGAAATCTTTCTCTTTGGATCATCATTCCGGTTGGGTATTTACAGGAACCCCAAAGTATCATTATTGCGAATGATATAAACTGAAAATTCAAAAACAATTATTGTCAGATGTAATATTTTATTATCCATTATCAATCAGATAATATCTGTATTGAATTAATATGAACAGTGTAAATAAGTATGTGCAGATATAAATAATCATAAAACAGAAAATTTTATGAATCAATTTAAATTAAATTAAGCACAAAATATACCGATTATCTCTGAAATATCAAACAATCAGTCAATAGTTTGTCTCATGGACTTCACACTTATTACGTGAAATGTTTTATCTTTATATGGATAACATGCGTTGCATGTGTTTCTCAACACACTGACCAACTGGTCAAATTACCTTGCGAAAATTCGGGTAATTCACATTTCTCTTTTATATTGTGAGGTACGTTGTTAATACAAGAAATCAAGTTTCCGCTCTTGAAAGCCTTCTGGGTTCGCTGTAGTGCTCCAAAAACCGTTGAAATTTCCAACTTTTTTTGGTATACGCTAAATATCTCCTTTTTAGGGCAACATAGATAAAAAATGGTTATATACAATCTTAAACAGCTTAAAAGCTTCAAACATTTTTTTTTTTATAACATTTGTTTCTAAACCCAACAGGAAGCGAACTATTGAGCTTTCAAAATTTACCCATTTCAATTTCTTCGATTATGTCTGCCTTGTATGCAGTGGTCTGTCTGATGGGCTTGAGGTCAGATTGAAAAGATTAATGAATTGTTTCATTAACCAACCAAAAGACGTGGATTTTAAACATTATATTGACATCTACCGCGAATATTTTTACAATATTTATTTTAGGTGAAATGCTTATACTTCAAATACTTACATCGCGTGAAATGATTATTTTGCTGAAGCACTTATTATTTAACATAAACCTATTTGGATTATTTAAATCAAATATTCTATAAACAACAAATAAAAAATACCAGAAAACCAGTTCTAAATATAAAACGTTTTCATTTCTTCTCCTATTATCTCATATCAGGACATTATTGATGCGATAACTTGAACATCGGCTCTAACTTACTCAAAAATTGTAGTGTATTGCTCAAATTTCGTCTGTTTGTGTTTTTGAGGGTATTGAATTTGAACTCAATCCATTTAGTTGACCAGATGCATGCATTAAAAACAAAATAATAAAATATCTTTTTTTGTTTTTGTTTATTTAATGGAATTTACAACTGTATACAAATACAACAAGTTAATATGAGCAAATTTAAATAATGGCATGTACAGGCTTGAAGAGTTACTACCCAATGGTAGCACTCTCTAAATAATTTTAAGTAAGAAGATCACGAGGCCATCTTCTTTTCAGACGCCTAGGAGGATTATCAGGAATCGAGAAAGAAGCAAGAGTGGAAACAAGCGGATTTGGATGGGACTGAAGTTTATCATGAAAGGATAGATATCTGGCTCGAGCTAAATCAGCGACATATGGTACATTAAGGTCTTTATGAATGGTTTTATTTGTGACAAAGTATGGAGCATTAAGGATTTTACGGAGGATTTTGGATTGTAAGGATTGGATACGATAGGAATTCGATGGTTTGGTGGAGCCCCAAAGCTCAACTCCGTATGTCCATATAGGTCTTATTATAGTTATGTAGATAAGTCTTTTGTAATTAATAGAAAGTTTGGAGCGTTTGTCTTGTAAGTGTTGGAGCAGTCGGAAACGTCGAGCAGTTTCTTGTCGTTTCAGTCTAGTATGAGGATTCCAAGTAAGACGTTTATCCAAATGGAGTCCTAAGTAGCGGATTTGCTCAACAGGAATAAGTGGAGTATTATTGAAAGTTACTGTAGGACAAAATAAAATATCAATTAAAATAATTATAGATCAAATAAAATAATTTACTTATATATATATATATATATATATATATATATATATATATTATTTCATAAAAATAACTTTCAACTCACTTTTAGAATGCTAACTTTTTGCTTCCTGTGATATTGTACATTTAATCAGTTCCTAAACTTAATATGATGAAATCGGAATGGATTAACTGGATTTTTAATTATGTCTCTGCTATTATCAATCATTGATTAAATAAATCTATAGGAACTAGAAGTTTGATACCCCAGACCACTAAACTCGTTGTGCAGTTAGGTTTTATATATTTCCATTGCTTTTTTTTTTTTTTTTTTTTTTCCAAAATTCTTGTTTTCATGAAACTTTCTCTTGTACCTCAAGAGTAGTGTGCCGCAAGGTTGTAGCGCAGTAGATGCCTACAAAAAACACGTTTTTGCAGAATGAACCAACACAGTGTATCCCCCACGGAATCGCCACAAACCAAATTTTACTAGCCTTTCAAAAGTTACACACCCAGTCCCAAAGTTAGCCCATCTTATGGTATTGTAAAAATATTTGCGGTAAATACCAATTAATTCTTTAAAATTCCTGTATTGTAAAAATTACCTTGTTTATATATTGTATATAATTTATTACTTAATTCATAACGAAGTAGCAAGTGCAGTTGAAGATTCACGTCGCTCTGTATTTGTTACTATGTAATTTGGTTATTATTTAAAATTCTGGTGTAAGACTATATCAACAATGATTATATAAACAGTGGTACATTTTATGTCACATATGTTCAGGTTAGTAACTATTGATTAACAATGAAGCAGTAATAAATCAGTGCTCGTTCGGCAAGCCCAAGTGGCCCGTAATCCCTTACGGGTTTACCTTATCTGTAATAAGTTACGGTCAAGACTCGGCTCTGTGTATACTAACATTCTTCGGCTTTGTTCACAGTTCGAATCCAAGACATTTAGGTTTTTTTTTTTCTTTTTTTTCTCTTTATATTTTTAATATTTTTCAGGAGACTTTTATTTTATTTTCTCATTAATTAATTCTGAAATGAATTATTTTATATTATATCTGTATATAATTTGTAAATAGTTTAGTTCTTAAGAAGCTATCTTATAATTTTCATTTTAATATTTAGGTTTAAAAAACATTTTTTTTTTCTCTTTCTCTCGCACTCATTTATCCATCATGGATAAATCCATGGATTTGGATAAGAACACTTCTTATGAAGACTCGGAGAACGAGACACTCTTTTCAGAAATTAGCGAGACTGACTCGCAATACTTGAAAAGACGTACGCTCCAAAAGCGTGTCCGAAACTCCGCTCCCGGTTCGGGAAGCAACTCACCAAATAAGAAAAAAAAAATCAAATAAGCCAGCAGAACAAGAAAAAATCTCCACCTAAAACGAGGAGTAAATCTAATGCCACACAATCAGAGCCAACTGCACCAAGCACCTCAGCCAGCAAGAATACTATTCTCGATAACAATTTATCAAGCAAGATTCCGAAGCCTCAAGATTTTTCCGACCCCGAACCGCCACCTGTTTTTGTTTCAAAAATTGAGAACTTCTTGTCGTTTGGTCAAGAAATTGCAAAACTAATCGGACAGCCAAATTTTCGCTGCTTCTCTCGAATCAATGGCATTAAAATAAACACGAACTCTAGAGAAAACTATAAAAAATTGATTAGCCATTTAACTTCCAAAAACTACGACTTCCATTGTTACCAATTGAAACAGGACAAGGCGTATCGAGTAGTCCTAAGAGGTCTACATCCAACCACTCCTATATCTGTCATCAAAACAGGCCTGGAAAAAATCGGTCATAAGGTCAGGCACATAGCACCCGTACTACATTCTAGGGAAAGATATCCGCTTCCATTATTCTTTATAGATTTGAAACCAGTAAAAACGAATAATGAAATATTTCAGGTTCAACGTTTAGTATACTCGACAGGAACGATTTGAGGAACCAAGGCAGAAGCCCCTAATAGTGGAATGCACTAAGTGTCAAAACTTAGGGCATACGAAGACATATTGCCATCACGAGGCCAGATGTGTTAAATGCGCCGGTTTTCACGCTTCAGGCACTTGCCAGAGGCCAAAAAATGAGCCCGCTACATGTGCTCTTTGTGGTGAAGCCCACCCTGCAAGCTATAGAGGTTGTGAGGTATATAAAAATCTTCACAAACAGAGATCACGGAACTTAGCGACGAAAACCCTTGGACCTGCTCAAAAAACTTGTCCTGAGCCATCTGAAATTGAAAATCAGGAAACTTTCCCAGCTTTGCCGACTTCACCTTCCATCGCCGTCCAACAACAACCATCCATCTCTACACTTAAGGATTATCCTCAACAGAATTCAAGAAATTCTCAATGGCAGCTTTCCACCATTAAGAAGCAGCCTCAAACTCAGGCGCCTCAAACCTCCCAATCCAAGCACAAAAGCTCTAATACTCAACCTCAACAGCCTCGTCAGCCAATCCCTCCCCATCAGCTACCCTTAAGGGTCAAACTCCCGCCAGAGCACCCACACCCAGCTCCACTCGTTCCTACTCCCAAGATGAACCTCCCATCACAAGTCCAACAGAATTTAGATCCTACTCCTCGTACCCCACGTCGGACCCACCCTCCACCCAGCAATCCTATTCGCATAGATTACTCATCACAACCTCACGACCTAAATCCACTTCCCAGCCAAACATCATCCGACATCAACTCTATCCTATCATCATTCCTGATAGATCTTCAACAGACTATCAAACCGCTTATAACTCTTCTCACTAGACTCCTTTCCGAAATCCCGTTTAACTTCCGATGAATACAAAGCCCCTAGCTATCCTCTTATGGAACGCTAACGGACTACATAACCACCGTGACGAACTAGACATATTTCTCCATGACAATTATATTGACATTGCTCTCCTGACAGAAACTCACTTCACTCAACGGACACAATTCTACATACGTGACTACATCACTTATAGATCTGACCATCCAGACAACACTTCCCACGCTGGCTCTTGCATCCTCATACATAAATCTCTATCGCATTCCCTTATCCCTTCTACTCCAACTGATGCCATTCAATCAACTTCTGTAATCCTTTCAACTCGTCCTTTCCACCTAACACTTTCAGATGTATACTGTCCTCCTGGTAATTCTCTCTCTTATAGCCTACTTGATTCCTTATTCCAATCCCTCGGTGCGTCCTTTATTGCTGGAGGAGACTACAATGCTAAACACCAACGATAGGATTGTCGAACATCCAACTCCCGCGGTAGCATCCTATCACGTGTCTCTTCTTCCAACAGTTATTCAATCCTCTCACCCATGAATCCTACATATTGGCCTTCATCTCTGAAAAAATGTCCCGATATCCTGGATATATTTATCACCTCCCAGATTTCCTCCTCCCAATCCATTATCAAATCCCTGGTTGACCTTTCCTCAGATCATAGTCCAGTTTTGCTTTTACTACATTCGAAATTTGCTCCTAAACCTACACCTCCTGAACTAATTACTGGACGAGTGGACTGGGATTCGTCATGGGACACAAATTTCGTCATGATCTGGAAGATAAACTGGACTTAAAAATTCCCCCGTAAGACAAAACAACATATTGATAATGCCATAGAAAACCTTAATACAACTATAACAACGAGTATAAATAATAACACATTTGTTAATAATAAAAGCAATAATTTAAGACATATTAACTTGCCACAGCATATTCGAATCTTATTAAGGGATAAACGCAGAGCAAGATCGAAGTGGCACAGGACTAGATATCCTTCAGACAAAACGTACTATACCGAATTGACTAACAAACTAAAATCAGAAAATATAAAACTCAACAATTACTGAACCTAATTGAAAATATTACAACAAATGACAAATCACTATGGACTACAACCAAAAAACTTCTGAAGTTTAAAGACTTTAATCACCCACTTCTTACTGAATTCCAAACCTGGTCCAAATCCGACGAAGAAAAAGCCCAGTTATTCGGTCAACATCTGTTCCAAATTTTCAACCCACATCCTGATATCCTTAATCCAACCCACATCGAATGTATTGAATCAGAACTGGATACTCCTCTCCAAATGTCCCTTCCACCTAAAGCATTTCATCCCACAGAAATATCATTCAAAGATTACCTCCTGCTGTATTCAAATTCAAAATATCCTGCAAAGCTCCTGGACATGACCTAATAACATCCCAGATCTTGAAACTTCTTCCTCGAAAAGCCATCCTATTCCTTACTTTCATATATAATGCTGTACTCCGATCCACATATTTCACTGATCCTTGGAAAATATCTATTGTCAAAATGATCCACAAACCCAACAAGCCACCAGAATATCCATCCTCTTACCGTCCCATCTCTCTGTTACCCACCATGGGAAAAATCCTGGAAAAACTAATCTTAAAACGCCTGTACCCAATCCTAGATTCTAATCACATAATCCCAGATCACCAATTTGGATTCCGCTCCTCCCATTCCACTATACAGCAATGCCATCGTGTAGTAGACGTAGTATCCTCTGCATTGGAGCGCGATATGTACTGTACGGGAGCCTTTCTCGATGTTGAACAAGCGTTTGATAGAGTTTGGCACCCGGAACTGCTGTACAAACTCCGAAAATTCCTACCATCTACCTACTTCCTCATTATCCGTTCCTACCATACTGATAGATACTTTAAAGTAAATCACAACAATGTATGTACATCCCGTTTTTCCCAGTCTGCAGGTGTTCCTCAAGGTAGTATCCTAGGTCCTATCCTTTACTCAGTTTATACAGCTGACATCCCAACACTATCATCACCACAAATCTGGACAAACGTCTAACTTGGAATCCTCATACCAGACTGAAACGACAAGAAACAGCTCGACGTTTCCGACTACTTCAACACTTACTAGACAAACGCTCTAACCTTCCAATCAATTATAAAAGACTGATTTACATGACTATAATAAGGCCTATTTGGACTTACGGAGTTGAGCTATGGGGCTCCACCAAACCTTCAAATTCCTCTCGCATACAATCCTTACAATCCAAAATCCTTCGTAAAATCCTCAATGCTCCTTACTTTGTTACAAATAAAATTATCCATAATGACCTTAATGTTCCTTATGAATCAGATTTGGCCCAATCCAGATATCTGTCCTTCCATAATAAACTTCATAACCATCCCAACCCTCTTGTCTCACCTGAGCTTGCTTCCTATTCGATTCCTGATAACCATCCGAGGCGTCTGAAAAGAAGATGGCCACGTGATCTTCTAATATAGAAATATTATTAGAGTGCTACCAATGGGTAGTTTCTCAACATGTGTTCCATGTCTTTATACCAATGTGCGAATTTACCAGATGTATTTTTTGTATACAGTTGTAAATAACATATAAATAAATTATAATAAAAAAAATCATAACGACATATTATGCTTAAAATAAATATATAAAGTTACATGTATGTAATAATGAAAAATATATTTTTTTTTATTTTTAGTTTTTATAACGTAGCTATTTTTTTTTTTTTTTTTATTATTTCAATGGAATTTACAACTGTATTACATAGAGGATACAATAAGTAAATGAGAAATTTGTAACATGGCATGTACAACATGAAGAGAAACTACCCATTGGTAGAACTCAAAACGTAGCTATTAAGCTCGTGATATGTTTATAATTTGGACAGTATAGACAATTAGATATAATTTAGTCAAAATGTGGGTAGATGTTAAGTCGAATACGCAAGTAAAAAAAAAAAATTAAATAAATAAAATGTAATAGAAATCACTCTAAATTCAACGCCCCAGCGTGTTAAATCCTCAATAACATCCGGGGTGATAGGTTGGAACAAGATCTGAAAACCGTTTTTTGAAAATTCACACCTTTTTTAACAATAGAGTCTATCTAATTTTTCGGACGATAGAGCGATTTCGGACGATTTGCGAAATGGAACAAAATTGCTTGCAATTGTTTGAAACATCGTAACAACTATGTTATTTATAAAAAATTGGCGTTTCAGCTGTCTCAGAATTCACTAGAAGTACCTAATTCTGCCCACCACATACCACTAGGTTCGAAGAAAAATTACCGGCAAACCAGCTCTAAATATAAAAGATGATTTTCATTTCTTCTCCTATTATCTCACATCAGGGCTGTTTAGGCAACTTTCCAATTCTTTAATTATGGCAATGCAAATAACTCTCATGAGTTCTTAATAGGCAACACTCTACTTATTTAGGCAGTGGACTGTATTTTAATAGATTGGTAGGTTATACGAATTGTGGAAAAACAGCTTACCATTTTTATACCGGCTTAAGACATTTGTTACCTGAGGGCCCTCAAGCGCAGGTGAAGCCTCCTTAGATGCTTGTGCCGGAATGCAGAGTGAACCAGCGCTCGTACGGGTCAAATGTTATCTTTTAGATCTTCTGATCTGCCCCCACCACTCGCCGTAACGGAGAAATTTGGAACTATTTTCGCACCAAAATATCCCCTACCGTGAAATATCTGCCCACATCACTCGCCGTAACGAAGAAATTTGAAACTATTTTCGCACAAACAAGGGCATTATTAATGCGACAATTAAGTTAAAAATTTCTGGACATAATGAGGAAACGACATTAGTTTGTCATTAATGCAGTAAAACTTCCAAATTTCAACTTTTTTTTTTTCCCTAATGTCCAACAGTAGCATTAGCTTGCCTCAGTGTGCGGCGTCGAGCTAGACCCGAGAACGCTAAAACCAGCAACGCTCTAACACGCTCGGACGTCACTTCAGGCCCACATAGCCTGCATAATATATCAAATGAAAACGTGAAACACTTGAAAAGCTTTGCCGGGTTTGCTTTCCCCTTAGGAAGATACATGGAGGAAAGATTGATCATTTCCCAATTGGCTCGATGCCTCATTACTTGCTGTGAGGACATACAGGGGTGCAAATTCTGAGGCAGATCACTTCTTAGTGGTGGCTAAAGTTCGACCGAGAATCCCAAATATAAAACAATGTCAAGTAAGTAAATTCATGAGATTCAACTTAGCGAACGTAAAAGATTAAGAAAAGAGCCTATAGATTCAAGTCGGCTTCTATTTTATTCAAGCACTGTAGAGGACATACATAGAAGATGGAATCTAAGCAGGTATGCTCTAATAATTACTGCAAGGGAAACATTAGGCGTAGAAACAAAATATAAACGGAATCCGTTGCTGGACGAAGAACGCAAAGCCATAAATAAAGGAAAAGATGAAGCCTTCAAGAGAATGATACTGATCAGATGAACAAAACGATCGCAGGAGGAGTATAGTGCACTGAGGAGCCAAGAAAATCATCTACGAAGGGGAAAGAAAGGAATTGGGAACATTTCTGCGAACTGTTTTAACGAATTAATCAGCACGTTCGGCCATCAAAGAGTTCTGTTGAATAAACTTCAAATGTTCTCTAATGCTCTTACCGCTTCAAACATTGTGCAGATAGCCATGGTGTTTGTAGAAACGTATTTCTTCAGTCTTAATGTCATTTTTTTGGAGGTTGCCTTCAGCTTATCCATATAACTTAACAATGAACAGTCGATTGACATTATTTATCATTGTACATATGTTCATTATAAAATATTTAGTTCATTAATTTGTTTCAAAAACGAAATTTATTATATGGAACATATGTACAATACATCGTCGATCCAATGTCAAACTGGTGTTTCTAGAGACTTTGCCACTTATGGGAGTGTGATTTTCTGTTTTTTTACTTCACTTACTTTATATGTAATACATAGTAAGAGAAAATATTGCGATCGTGAAAATTTTAAACAGAAATTTTTGAAGTTTCCTGAGTCCAAGTAACGAAGTCTTGCAAAATAATCTGTGTGTGTGTGAACAGTCTAGCTCAAAAACGAAAAGTCCCATGCAACTGAAATTGTGTATTTAAGGTTTGCATATGTCTGAAATGTTACAGAAACATTTTCTTCAAAATCACCTAACCTGAAGTACCACTTTATATTCTCAATTTTACATATTTTTACAATTTTCTCAAAAACGGCTTTAACGATTTTGATTTAATTCATTATATCAGTGTAAAATGAAGCAGTTTTTACTATGAAGTTCTCTAACAGGATTTAAATGTATAATTTTCAAAATTTCTTCCTCTGAAATACCTTTAATTATTTTATTATTTGAAATAATTAACCATGTTACCATGTAACCATGTAAACTGATATTAAAAATGACTATTTATATTATAAAATATAAATAGTTATAGTTGTAAAATAACTAATTATATTGAATGAAGCCTCGACCTTTTGCAAGGTAAAATGTCTAATTTAACTGGCCTATAGTATTATTTCCAAATATTAAAAGAGTTTTAAGGCAAAACACGCCGAAATATGGGGCCTTTGTTGTTCTTGAGAGGGGTTTTGATGAAGATTGTGGTAATCAACTACATTTTTTGTTTTCAAAGCGAGATCCAGCAGAGAAACCCAATTTCCTCTATGTTCGATGAAACATGAACCTTAACTCTTTCCCCTCCCCTTCTCAAGATACTTTATCGCTCTCATTTTAATAAAAACAGTGCTAGGGAAAGTATAATTTAAAAAATCGGGTGTGTCCACTCACATGACTTTCCTACCTATTTCAGAAAAGTTTTTAAATCTTTACATATGTCCATCAAGAAATAAAAAAAAATTGAATTAAATTTGTTTTCCTGAAAATTGATCAAATAAAAAAGATTTGATTACGATTTATTTGATAAACTAAAGCAATGTAAACCGGTTTAAGGTAGATCAGTGTAAGTAAACATGTCTATACTCTCTAATATTGCTGATCAAAAACTTATTGCCATAGCTTAGTATTGTCAAACAATAATTTCTGTTAAAAATAGAGGAAATAGTGAAGCTTGCGTGTTGAAGGCAACAGATTTTCTTACTTTCACTTAGTTATCTTTTTTCTCTCATTCGTCCCTTTCTGACACCAGGATATGTACCCGTAATCTTACATTGGAAATTGAATAGCTGTAACTTCGTTAATAGTTGTCCAAAATGAAGGATTTTTATATAGTTTTGTAAAGAATATCAATATCTTAAAAAAAAAAAAAAAAAAAAAAAAAAAAAAAACCACTAAACTTAAAAGTCAGAAGGGCTCTGAAACATATAGAACCGTCGAAAATCTCATATCGGAAATTTGATCCGATCGCAATACTTTTCTTACCTAGTATAGAAAGGAAAGTAAAAATTGTAGATCATAAACAATTACATTTTATCTTTTCCCGTTATCCCTACCTCTCCATTTCTGGCATGCTGGGGTTGTTCTAGAGGTACAACCAACCTATTCTAACCAGCGTGAGAAGGTCGATATTAATTTCGTGGATCCGCCACAAAATAAATTTTAACTCGCCCAAACCGGATTCGAACCGGAGTCGTTTGACAGGAAAGTTTTAAACTTTACGCTTTACCACACTCGGTCATCACGCCCTCGAATACAATTGCACTTGCTGCGGTCTGTTCCATGTATTCCCTTCATCAAATTCTTAGCCTCCTGAAAATGTATTATACTGTAACATTGTCCTCCCCATGCGTAGACTGTATACAATGAAAATGCTTAATATAAGCATCATTGGCATAGATCTAAACAGGATAGATATATATCTAACAGTTTAACTAATTGTAAGTATAAATACTTTTATATTGAGATATTTTCTTAAAATTTTATGTTTTTATAATTTACAGTTAGGAATTAATGTTCTGCTGCTAAGGTTTAACATTGGAAATTTATTACCTACTGAATATTTAATATGGTTTTATAATTTCTTTCTTTTTTTTTTTTTTTGATCCATATGATAAATTTGAAATTAAATATGTACTTACAATCAGTATTAATTACGCTTGTCATACTGCCATCTGGATATGGAATTTAAAAAATGGTTGAATTGATTTCATGTACGTAATTATCGATATTCGTTGAGATATAATCTTCAAAGGTGTTCTCAACAGTATTCTGATGGATATGATAATACGATGATATGCGTTTTGTGATGTTTCGGTATTTGTACATCGTCGGTACCATCACAATTCCAAATTTCGTTCGTTTACCGTAGTACTTCATGTCCACCTTGTGGCAATTTATCGGATGTAATGCCAAGTTCGAACAGGCAAGCTAGTAGCAAACTTACTATCGAACAACACCAACACTTCTTTTCGATTGCCATGTCAAGTGGATAGATCAATTTATGAAGGCAGGGTTGCCCTCCCCCCGAAGGAGATGGTTCCAGATCAAACTCTCATGAAATTTCATTGCTTTTATTTATATATTTATTTATTTTCCCCGTACCTTACCTTACGGCAATACGGGTTTTGGTGAGGGTAGCGTAATAAATATTTATCAAGCTACCTCATCCTTGCCCATTTCTTCTTTAAAACTGTGCAACTGGGAGTAGAATTATAAAAATACTCGGTTATTTACGATTACCTTTGGTATGGTCTGCTCCATTTTTCTTTTGCCTTCTGTTTTGAAAATTCCCTCTCTCCTCCCCCCCCCAAAAAAAAGAAATCATAATCCTGTTATAATTTTTTCCTCACAATTTTTTATGACCCTTTTTTGTTTTTTGCCACTTGCTATTCTAAGTACCTCTGTATAGAGGGCAATAATTGTTTGTTTGATTATTTAGGCTTTAAGGCGTAAAACCCTAGGGTCATCAACGCCTGTGAGTCGAGGACAATAATTGTTTGACATTTTACAAGATTAAAAAATACTTTTAAACTACTTAATGCTGTATTATATAGCTGAAGTGTTTCCTTAGTAGCGCATGGAGATTACTTGTTCAAAACAACTAAAAGAAGAAGGACGAAAGTAACTTGCATTTACCTCAAAACTCTCATTGGTAATATTATTATGAGGGTTATTCACGCGTGAGCCTTACTCAAATTTTCTTGGAATTCACAATGTTTTTTTACACGAACAGGCCAGCAAGGACCAAGCGAATATCATTTCCGTTTCCTCTTCACACCTTCCTCTTACTCCAATACTCTCTCATCCTCCTCGACTGTTCCTCTCGCTCTTCCTTAGTCCATTTTCTCCCTCGTCTCTCCCTACCACCTCCGAGAGCCCCAACCCCTTTCAGTTTTTCCCTAAAAAGCTCTCTATCAAAGCAATCTTTATCCGCGATTTTTAGTCTGTCTAATTCCTCTTTTATTTGTTTTACTTTTATAGCTGCAAACTTTGTCAAAAATTTTCTTGTTCAGTCTTTCCCTATTCATCCTGACCATGTGCCCGTAGAACATCATTCTTCTGGTCCTGACGACTGTTTCCAAATCTACCAAATTTCTGTATATTTCTTTATTGGATTTAAGCCTATATCTCTTGCGTTACCTTGGGTCCGTGAATACCCCTCAGAATCTTCCTCCCAATCTTCAGGCATTTCTCTAGGCTCGGAAGGCTGACTGTTTCCATAGCATGTAATATTACAGATCTTGCTACTGTATAGTAATGCCTTATTTTTCTTGTTTTGTTTTGAGGACAACTTTATCTTGTTGTAAACATTCCTGGTGGCGAAGTTCAGTCTTTCCAGTTTGGTTATTCTTCCTTCGATTAATGCCTTACATATTTCAACTTTTTGGTCACTTTTATTTTACACTAATTAACAGATTTTTTTTTTTTTTTTATTATTAACAAGGCTTTAGCTAGACGCCATTAGCCAAAATTTTAAATAGCAATTATTCCAAATGATTATTGAGATGGATCATTAACCAACAGTTTTATAATTTAATACCTATGCAATTTACAAAGTGATATAACGCTTCCAGGACAGAATTAGGGTTTGTTATTACATCAATATAAGATGGATTGTATTTATTTATTAAAGTTTCAAAAGATATTTTGAAACTTCACATTTCCTCCGTTCCTTAGATTTCAAATCATTCGACATTTCATCTGAATTTCCAATCCTCGAAAAGTCCACTTGTTTAAAAATCTTATTTTTCCTTCACTTTTTTTTTTTTAATGATTCTGGTAAGACATGATGGCTGTTCAATGCATTAGTATAGGCAAACCCTTGAGATGGTTAGAACGGTAGTTTCTCTACCAGTCCTTTCCGATTCATTCAGCATTTTTCTTATATTTTAAGAATAGTTGTAGGTTTCATTTAAAATAATAATAACAACAAAGACAATAAATTAGACTTTCATTTTTCAATGTACATAACGAAGGCCATCATTACATTATTTTTCATCTGTAAACAGGCACGCCGCCTCTCGAGACCCTTATTACATATGGCCGCTCCTCCAGGTCCCTAAAGAAATAAAGCAATTAAAACTACCTTGTTTTGTTACATATGTATATTTATAAACCTTAAAACTAAAAAGAGGTAAAATCATTATCGAGTGATTGAGATTCATATATCATTTTGATTCATTCTTTCATTTTATATGCAGAAATTAGTTCATTTACTTGCGTCCTAAATTTCTTTTATAGTCGACTTTTAAATAACAGCGGATAAAATCAAAACAGATGAGAATAATAAGAAAAATAATTCGAGAACTGCTGGAGATGACATAATGACACAATAATGCAATAATTCGCTAAAATGATTCGCAAAAATGATTTTGTCATAATAAAAGAACAATAGGTAGTAAATCATGTAATTAACAGGATGTTAAAGAAAAAGAAAATAGGTTATAGAAAACATATGGAAAAAGGAAAGACCGAGAATAAGTTAGAAGAAAATATGGTATATAAGATGACATGAGAGAACAGATAAAAGGAATAGAGAAAGATGGGCATCTGTAGTCAATTTCATGGGACAACAGTAAACCGATTCAAATAAGGCTTTAAAAAAAGGAGAAAAATAACTCATACTCTGTTATAGAAACTCAAAATAAGGGCTTGAGATCAAATTTTTGGCAAATGCATATTTGTCCTCAGACGTCAAAAAACTAAAAAATGAACAAGAAGCTATAGGTCAAATCAACGATCTTGAAGAACAGCTGAAATGATTAAAAATAAAAAACCTCTTAACGATGCACCAGGAAACATTTTAACATTATAGAAATAATTTATAGGAAAATTAGAATGGTGTTATATCTAGCTGAAATCATAAACTTTTTTTTTGTTTATTTATTTAGAAATATAATAATCTATTCCGTGGACAATAATTATAGTGATATATGAACACATTCATACCATATATACAGAAAATAAAAAAATAATAATCAAAAACTATGTACAATAAAAAATAAAATAATCTAAAGATAACTAAATTAAAAACATAAAAACACCACCATACATACATACAATCAGGCAGGGAACCCCAAGCCAGGCTTGTCCCTCCAACTATAGAAGGGAAAGCAGGACTCCAAGAGATCTCTGCGCTACTCTTTCAACCGCCTCACTAGTGCTAAAGACAGTGGAGATTGAGCGAGAGCGCTCACTACACTCATGTCTTGAGTGGAAAATTTAGCCGTTGCCAGAACTCCAAGAGATATACTACAAAAGATCTCTGGGCCACTGCCGCTTCAACCTTCGAGGATTGTATGGGTGAGTGGAACTAGATAGGAATTGTGCAAAGGGATTTGGATGATTTATAAGGTTCTGATTGAATTTGGAAACATTTTCAGGGATAAGGTAAAGGACAAATGGGATATTAAGGTCATGATAGTGTTTTATTGGTTACATAGAACGGAGTATCGACAGAACTTTGGCATGAAAGGATTGGAAGCGTTTGATGCTGGAAAATTTTTCTGTCCCCCAAAGTTTAAGTCCGTTGGTCCAAATAGGTTTCAGGATTATCCTGTAGATCAGTAATTTGTCGTCAATTGAAAGGTGAGATTTTCTAGTCAGTAATCTGTATAATTTGCCGTATCGTCGGTTCCTGTCTTTCTTGTCTTTTAAGTCTAGTACGTGAGTTCCACGTTAGTCTTCAGTCTAAGGGAAAGCCAAGAGACCGGACTGTGTTTGAAAAACGAAGCTGAATGGAATTAAAGTAGACTGGTGGATCTGCGCTGGAGCGTGAAGGTAATGTGTTTGCATTTGGATTCGTTTACTGTCATGCGCCATTTATTACACCAGTGCTCAATCAGATAGAGGTGTCATTGCAGATTTAAAAATGCTATTTCGGGATCTGAGTTGGAGGATAGGATGGCGGTTTCATCAGCAAATGTTTCCAGAAAGGTATCGGGATGGACAGGGATACCAGCGGTAAAAAGGATATAAAGGACGGGGCCCAAGACGCTGCTTTAAGGAACATCGGCTTCAACTGGATAGAAATTCATAAAATTTAACGGAGGAGACAAACAAGCAATCAAGTTAAGGAAAGCCAAACATAGATTAAATTTCGCTACAAAAATGTTTATAACAAGAAACATCTGTCCATATGACAGATTACAAGACATTTTACATTGTTATGCTGATTAAAAATTATTTTTATTTTATTGAGCTTCCAATTTTTTTTTTTTTTTTTTTTAGATATGTGGTGATGAATTTAGCCACATTTCTAAAAATATCTGCGTATAACGAAAAATGTATAAGTGAATCTCAGGTGAATGGTTTACAATTGTATAATAAAGCTAATTTTGGCATATGACTACGATACCTAGAAACTATTCAGCCCCCTAGAAATAAGAATTAATTTATTTGAGAGGGAGTTCTCTGTACGGTATCCGGGACGATCTGGGATCGGAGGATAACGATCAATAAAAACAACTTACCGGAACTAAAGACAAGGAGGTTAAGGTTGGTTGTGCATGAAACTTAAAAAACAAAAACCTCAATCAAGACAATTAATCAGAAAGTCTGTGCACAACGATGAATGCCACATTGAAGTATAGGAATAATGTATAGAAGGCCAAAACGCAGATGGATGGATAGGATTTAAAAAAGAGTCTGCGGAGAAAGCAGTATCCCAAAATAAGCACCGGAGGAAAAGACAATGATCCAAAAACTCTGTGAAGAAAACAGATAAAAGAAAAAAAAGTTTGTCGATTAATAATGTTTAATTATTAGAACTCTAAAGGCCTTACAATTTCATTCATTAAACTTTGTTTTATCAATTAGTGATCTATCTATTTAAAAGTATCATTAACTGAAATATTTAAAAGTAAATAATGAAGTAGGATGCTAGGTAATAATTACTCGGGTGAAATGGTAGCGATAAGAGAACCTCTTAGGTACATAGAGACAACCGAAACTACCAATTGGGCCGTGGTAACGGACTCGATGATCTCATTACAAGCCATTGGAAATACCAGGCCAAAAACTAATCTTGCCAAAGAAGTAAGAAACTTTTGGTGGCTGCTAATGCAGAAGCATGAACAAATAAAATTCATTTCACATTGCGGGGTAACTGGAAATGAGCAGGCTGACCTAGCAGCCAACCTGACAAGAAAGACAAGCACAACTCCGGAGGAATCAATCAATAAAATCCTTTTAGAGGACTACATGAGAAAAATTAAGATGGATTGGAAAATTGTGGAAGTGTGGAAAATTTCAGAAAATAACTGGAAGCAAAAGGCTTCTAAATTGAGAGAAATAAAAGCGCACTGCTCAAAATGGGAAACCTCTTGTCGATCCACTAGAAAAGAAGAAACAGCCTCTGTAGACATTCAGAACAGAAGAAGAAGAATTGGACATTGTGAGTTCTCGTAAGGCTACCTACTAAGAGGGCTAGATCCTCCGACCTGTCAGAGCTGCAATGTCCAAAGGACAGTAAAACATGTTATTCAAGATTGTCCTACACTGCAAAATATCAGAAGAAAATTGGATATAGCACCAAACCTACCAGAAAACCTAAAAAAATGTTACGAAAAGGCTGTTAAAAAAAAAATAGCATTCCTAAAAGCGGTTAAAGTCTACAATAAAATTTAATTAAGAGTTGTTGTCAATTACCCTGCAGGATAGAGGTAACAAAAAAATAATTTTCTTACATGAACTGATTTTTATATATATTTCACTGATGAATGACTTCTTTCAAAACATCTTTAAAATCAAAATTTAAAATTCTTAACGTTAAATAGGCAAATGAATGGCAGATATCTATGTCGTAACATAGAAAAATTTCTCTCCTAATGCCCAATAGGATCAGGTGCTTCCTGTGCTGGTGAAAGAAATTTATAGGCTCACGTTGAGAAAAAGGGAATGTGACACACCATGGAGGTCCCCGGGCGATTGAATGGCACAAGGAGGTGGTGGTAATCAAATCTAAGCTAACAAGAGCAAGCTTGATACAGATTTCACAATATTATAATCGCTTTACTTGCAGTAGTGGGTTGTTATGCTGGTCTGCTTAAACATCCCACTGATCCAAACAGCCGTAATGCCTAACAGGTTTGGTAAGGTGTTAAAAAAAAAAGTAATAATACTTACATATGTTTAGAGTATCTTCTAATTAGTAGAACGAAGTGGACGATAAGTAACACTAAGACTGCAACATGGAGCCCGAAGGTGATGTGTGCTTTGAGTCCAGTGTAGTCATCCAAATTGAAAAATTGATGAACCCCAACAACAGCGAACAGTGCAATTCCCGAAGTGGTATAAATGAATTGCTGCAGACCAGATTTTTTAATTGCATTTTAAAATTAAAATTTTACTAAAGTATTTTATTAAAATGGAAAATGCAATTTATTAAAGCATTTTAATAAATACTTTAATAACGCTAGTAATAATAGTGATAATATTAATTTATCAGTAAGCGGCAAGTCAAGCTTTACTGAGACCAAGCCATTATAACGTACCACACTATTCCGCACAAAAGGCCAGATATTGTATTTATTTTAAAACAAGAGAAGCAAGCAAGATAATCGAATTTGGGATATCAACGGATGATAATCTTCGTAGGTGGTAGCTGGAATAAATCGCAAGTATCAGGTTCTTGGCGAGGAACTGGAACGGTTGTATAGACTTGATAAAGTGAGGATTTTGACATTGATCATTTCTGCTAACGGTTTGATCCTGGACATGAAGGACTTGGACCTCTCAATGAAATGCTTAGAACAAATGCAGAAGCGGTGTTATTTGAACTGGGAGCATCGTCAGAAAATTCACGAATGTTACAGAATAAATAGAAACATACTTAGGTCTTAGGTCTTAGGTCCGGGTTATGTGCGATTACCAGCGAAAGCTGAAAAATATGGGATTTTCTTAAATAATAATAACATCGCTGGGAATGTAATTAGGAGAAGGAGAGGGAATGAGGAGCTGTGTGAACTATATGGTAAACCCTACTTTGTGGCATTGACAAAAAAAATCCCGGATAAGATGGATAGGACATGTGGAAAGAATGCCCGATCAAAGAATGCCAAACAGGATGCTCTATGAGAAGCTTAATGGCAAAAGAACTAGAGGACGCCCTCGGTATCTGATGGTTGGAGAATGTAGAGGACGATCTGAGGCGGCTGGGAGGTAGTGCTGGGCGGTGCAGACTGGATGGTTGTGGAGCAGGCCCGGTTTCTTATAGGACTGCAATGCTATTATAATAATAAATGATAATAATTTTATCAAAGTCAAAGATGTCAATAATACTCGAAAGTTTTAGTAATAATAATACACAAACAACTTTACATTTTTCAAACGTTTAAACTAATTGAAAATATTTTCAAAATTAACCCTAACAAAATTAGAATAAATAAAAGCTTTTTCGGCTTCAGAAATCTGATTAAAGAGAATGTGGACCGCGTATTTGTAAAAGTTAGGTACCCGATGTTATCATCATCGGCAATGTGAACGAAATGTACCGTTTTAATGAGCGAGATGTAGAACATGTTTCAGTCAAACAAACATAACTTGTTTGAGCGAGAAATAGGTATCCGCCTCAAAGTGTTCTCAAAACTGTGCCTGTACGCTTATTCACATATTATTTAGCCAGTCGAGGAAACGTATCCCAGATTTGTCTGATAATACAGAATCCTTCAATCGTCCTATCTTCCAAGTGGTACGGTATTGTACAATACCTTGATTGCTGACAACCGGTCTTTAGGTACCCCACATTAATAATCACACTTGGATTTGTACTAAACATTTCCGTCGATCTTTTTGGTGGTTACCTGAATCTTCAAAAAAAGAAAAAGAAAGACCGTTAAGTGTTGCAGGAAAACTAAAGTAAGGAGCTCGTTGGGGATTAGGGCAAAACCGAATACGACTTTATTAATCAGCTTGATTTCAGTGCTTCTAAAACTTTTCCAAATGGTAAAAACTAATAAATTTTAGAATTAACTGGAGAGTATCAAAGGACACCTGACAAATTTATCTAGTATTTCCATTAATTTCAATACCACCAACTATTTGTAATTTTAATACCACTCTAATGAATGTACAAATTATATTAAATTATAACTTATATTTAAGTTATATAAAATAAATAATACATCTAAATTGAATCAGCTGAAACATATTACCAGCTTTGGAGGAGGTTCTTCATTCAACAAATAGTCAATCACCAAACCCCAAAAGACGACCGTTAATGCTGGTGCGCCATGAGTAAAAAGGACATAGCCGGAAAAATTTCTCATCCCAGGCGGATATCTATAAGCACCCCATAGGATGACAATGGTGATGCACAGGATCTGGTTAATTAATCCAGTTTTACAATAGCAACGCTTACATTATAAAATAATTAATACATTAAATTATATTTATTTATTGAGTAATATGAGTGACTTGGAAAATATTTATATTAAGGTTTGACTACATTCACACTATACATACAGAAAATATATAATAAACAGAAGCAAAATAACAACTAAATAATAATAAGAAAATATATACAATAAATCAAATAAAATGACTTAAAAATAAGTAAATTAAAAAAGCAAAAAACGCATACATACCTATTAGTCCGAGGTATAGACCCATTTTTATCCAATTATTAACATCCACCTGATACTTCATAAATAGTTTCATCTCATCGTCACCGACAACTATTTTATTTGTGAAAACTATTGGAATTGGGGCGTTTTCAATCTGGTCGGGGGCAAACTATGTCTATTTAATTAGATACTAAAAACTCGTAAATATCCATTTTCTTTCTTCCTGGATCGTAAGATAATTCGATCACAAAATCTACAAAAAAGTGGCCCTCAAAAAATATTGAGCCGTTTGGCGTGACCTACATCCCCAAAATTTCAAAATAACGAGGTTATATAGGACAAACGGCCCAATATTTTTGTAGGCAAGTTTGCCCCCCTCCAGATCGAAAACGCCCCAATTTCAAGAGTTTTCGTAAATAAAATATTATCAAACTATTTACGAAGTTTCAAGCTGATGTCAATAATACGATAAAAAGGGGTCTGTACCACGGACTATATATCCACTATTTACAATCAAGCCATGGAACTCTGAGGCAGGTTTGTTCCTTTAACTATGGAAGGAAAAGTAGGGTTCCAGGAGATCACGGTGCTACTTTCTCAACCACGTCACTGATGCAAAAGTCAATGGAGATTTAGCGAGAATATTTTAGCTAAACACACTCATATCTTGAGTGAAGCTGGCCATTGCCAGAACTCCAATATATACATACTGCAAAAGGTCACGAGGTCACTACCGTTTTAACCTTCTTGGCATGAAAACAAAATCCTCCCGTACCATTAAGTAAAAAAGGTTTATATTTTTTATTTCGAAATAAACTCATATTTAAAAGTTTAATTGGACGCTAAAAACGAATTACTTATTATACTTTAGAATTCCTTAAATACAATTAGTAATATGATTTTCTGATTTGACACAAAAAAAAATACAATGATATGTAATACCTTACACATCTATACAGAAAAATTCAGTACAGTAATATAATATAAATACAGTAGTATGAAAAAAATAATAAAATTTTATAATTTTTTGCTCTTGGATCCTGGAGCACATTCGCTAGAAACCTCGAATATGGGTCAAACATTTGTCGACCTTGTATTACCAAAAAATGTTTAATTGAAATCGGCGACCCCACGTCTGGAACCTCCCTTCTGAGACTATTTTGAGATATACTATGTTAGTTTAACATTTTTACCTAAGCCTCAACTAAACAGTGATATTTTTCTTGTTGACTCAAAAAATTGTTGAATAACGACCAGACGAAAAGAACTGCTTTTACTTCGCTATCAAAGTTACTTGCTAGCTTCCCTTTGGGTTCTGACATTTGGAAACCTGTATCAACACCAGCCATTCCATTCTGTCTTGCACTATTCGCATAATTTGCATTATTCGTCTGTGTACATGTGTAACCAAGGGAGAGAGGGGTGCCTCTCTCGCATAGTTTCAAATGCTAAATTCTTTAGTTCTATCTTATACCAGCTTTGCTTGATTATTTGCTGCGTGACCTGTAAGTTGATTTCTGCTAAATTTTTTTAGTATATCTTCGTGGGATCATCGTGAATTTTTCTCTTGAGGAAATAAGTAGTCCTTTAATTTCTCTAATTGCGTCTAATTTCTTCTTGGATGTAACTTGGGTTTTAAGCCTCGTGATGGCAGACTTACAGTCCTTCCAGTAAACTGGATTTGAGTAAACAATAAAGACGGGAAGAGGAGGGGAGAGGGAGGAATGGTATGTATAAACGTTCCTCTCACTCCACTTAAACATTCCATCAAAAAGGCAAACTTTTATAAAACGCAGAGAAAATGTGTTACTGAGACTTCCAATTAGATTTCAGAGACGTTTCTATAGAACAAGAAAGTTATTGTAAATTGAAACAGTACGGTGATTAAAAACTCTTTTAATTAATCGCTACTATACCGCGTTTTTCTGCCAATCTTAAACAAAAAATGAAACATCATATTTGATCATCAAAAACATTAGTTATGCAATAAAATTGGCTAAAATAAGTCGTTTTTTCTTTTTTCCTAAAATGAATATTTTTTATGGAACGTTTGTTGTCGAAATAAAAAGCTTTGTCGAGAAAAATAAATTAAAAAAATTGTTTTTCTACGTATGTATTGTTTTTCATATAAAAATATTTATAAACTGTAATGATACTAAACTACATATTGAGTTTGGAATCATTTTTCTGCCAGAGTTTTTCCTGTATTCAGAATTTCTCCTCCTCCCCACAAAAATGAAAGCTTCGTGTGCTCTTATAAGAATATTTGATAAGGATGATTCGCCATTTCTGCCTTGGTTGGAAATTCATTATGTCATTGTATCAAATGAACAAGTAGATAAATATTATTCACTTTTATTCTGACAATTATATTTCTGTATCTTTATAAATCACTCCTATTACGAAGTTGTGGAGGACTGGTTTGCATAAATGTGTACCTTCCAAGCGGCATTTTCATGATTAAGTAATATGTAATACATAAAAAAAGTTAACACTCAAAGCATTGATGTTTTATGAGAAAAAGCCACTTGTTTAGTTTACAAAATATAAATGAACATATTTAAATAAATCTCTCTGAATATCATTGAGCTGATTTATATAAATGTAAGAATTAAAAGTAAACTATGACAGTAAAAACAAGGAAGAATTACTGAAGGCAATGATAAAATTAGGGATCCTCTAAAAATTGGTCACTTTGACAAGAATCGCCCTAAATGGTAGCAGATCCCTAGTTATGATGAAGGGTATGTTGTCAGAGGATTTCGATCTAAGAGATGGGAACAGGGAAGATGACCCTTTATCCCCTACTCTTTTCAATATTGCTATAGAGTATGCAATAAGGGCTATCCGGACTTGTCCTGGTGCCACTATTTATAATAGGATGGCAGGATCTAGCTTATGCTGATAATGTCATGACAACGGCAAGAAATAAAACAGCATTAGCAGAGCCACTTTAAAAATTTGAAACAGCAGCAAAATAATTAGGGCTACACATAAATGAGAAGAAGCCTGTTTACATGTGAACTTCAAAAACGCTGAGTGAAACAGGGGAATGTGTCACATTAGGTGATAATATAATAATAATACCCTGAAAGCGGTAGAAAGCTTTAAGTATTTAGGTGCTCTAATTACAGAAAGTAATGATATGACTGTAGAACTGAAAGCAAGAATAGCGGCTGGGAATAGATGCTGTTTGGTCATGAAAACATTGCTACATTATAACTCCTCCTCTCTTAGGATAAAAATCACAATATTCGAGAAAGTCATAAGACCCGTTTCCACCTATGAGTCTGAGATTAGGATAATCTCTAAGGCCGCAGAAAGGAACTCGCATGGGAGAGAAGGGTTCTCAGCAGGATCTACGGTCCGGTGTGCGAGGATGGGCAGTGGAGAATTCGCAACAATCAAGAGCTGGATATGGATTCGGTCTTACTTGTAAGAAGTAACCAAATCAGATGGTTGGGCCGTGTGGCACTTATGCCAAGGGATTCCATTCCCAAACTAGTCGAGATGAGGATGAGTATGAGGTCGAAAACATCTTGAAAAAAATGAGAACCCGGAGATAGAGAAGGGTGGAGAAGAATAACAAGAGAGGTCCTGTTTTTTTGTAGAACCTTAGCTTCAAAAAATAAATAATAATAAGAACTAAACGATTAGAGTTTAATGTAAAATTCATTATTTTGAAATACCCTTACCGCAATTAGAACAGTTAGTATAAAAGTTACGTTCCGAAGATAGCTTAAAAAAATGTCTACAATTCCATTATGACTTCTATCCCTTAGACGCATTTCTATGGCTTATAGTTAAAAAATTCTTATTTTAAAACATATGAGCGATATTTATAAGTCGTCGAGCATGTGTTATGGATTTTTTTTCAATACGTTAGACAAATTCATACGTGTACAAATTTTAGTTTAGCTTTAGTTAATTTCTTGCTTTCTTATTTGTTTCTATATTATTGCATGTGCATTCAGAGGTATGTTTTTATTTTCTAATTTTGTTTTTACCAAAACGTTTTTATTTATTAAAGATTTATTTCTTGTATGTAGTTTTTTATTGAACGAACTCGCAGAATCCTTAAAGTGGTGATCCCGATATTTATTTTTTCAATTAGAGGATTCTATACAATATTTAATATTTTCAATTGTTTTTATTATTTCAAAATAAATTTAATCTTTTACTTTTACTCGCGCTCAGTTTTAAAATTTTGTTCGTTCAGTATTAAACTAATTTTATAATGGTCGTGGAGGAGAATTTAAAAACCATACAGGATAAGCTGCAGGCAGAAGAGCAGCAATCCTCTTCTAAAGTTGAACCATCACTAGAAGCCTTCTTCCTGTAAAATTTCTCCATTTTGGAAGAATGGTCCAGAACTCTGGTTTTGTGCTGTGGAACAAGTTTTTAAAAGAGGGAACAATGAGACGCTGAGCATTTTGTTTTTATTTATTAAAGATTTATTTTTTGTATGTAGTTTTTTATTGAACGCACCCGCAGAATCCTTAGAATTCTTTAATTACAGAAAATTTTTGAGTCACTTGCTGGTGAATGTACTATTTACTTTATTTTTAGTTTTATGCTTCTTTTTTTTTTCTAAAATAAAAGACTGGTGTACTGTATCGAAGAGGATTGTGGATGCATATTATATTTATTTTAGAACTCGTAGAACTAGAAAGTTGAAGATTACGGGCACGCTGATTGAAGATTAGAGGGATCGGTTTGAATCCTGCTTGGGCAAGTAGAAATTAATTTCGTGGCGGATTAACGGAATGGAGCTCGATCTTCAATAATTGTGGATCTTTGTTATTTATTCGAAAAAATAGAGGGAACGACAACCATAAAAGCAAAAACCAACAATTGTTGAGGAAGCCAACACAGCTGTAGTTACCTGTCTTGACAAAAGAATAAAAACTCAATATCAGTATAATGTGAAACAATAATCCTTAAATAATTGATATGATTTGTTTTAAATATCAATTTATTAATTATTATAAGCAATTAATTTAACATTATTTGTTAAATAACTATAGAGTAATAGGAGATTAATCTTTTTTGTGATGAAACCAGATATAGATAGGTTTGGCTCTTGGACTTTTATTCCCAACGATCTTCTGCACTGCTTATTTCAGATCTCAAGTCTTCGGCAAGAAGACGCACAGCTTCCTCGACGTCGATGGGCTGCTCGGGGTCGCTCCCAGGTTCGCCGACTACCGGAGGCCTGGAGTCCCAGCTGGGAATGCTGGCCCGCGTCACGTTGGCCTCGGTGGAAGCCATCGAGACCTCTTGGGGCAGGCTGGGCGCCGAAGCTTGGGGTTCCGCCTGCTAGCAACAGGAGAGCAATTAAACAATATTTTTCACGAACGGTTTAAGCAATTATAAGTGTGAGCAAGTTAGTTGTGCAGCACCATGGGCAGTACAAAAACATTCCAGTCAATGAAAATAAATTTCTATAAACCGAAACTACATTCATGTTTACAAAAGTATAATCAATCATTTGCTGAAAAGCCTAAATAAATGAAAAAAAAATCATGAATTGACGAGCATACATGTATGAATAAAGATTCACTTCTGTTCTATTTATGTGTACAAACAGATCTTACTATTCAGAAGATATTTCAGCCAGAATACTATAATAATGCAATATCTTCCAAATGGCATAGTAAACTTTTTTTTTGGATTGACTTCTGGGAAAGAAAAGCGAGGATGATTATAAACAAGAGCAGAATTATTCCACGTCGATTCTCACACAAAAATGCTATTTTCAACCATAGCATATCATATTTTCATGACATTTGACAAAATTGCCACTAATTAGTACAGACATATAACAAATATAAGTTTCACTAAGATGTGTCTACTCGTTTTGGTTTATTATTTTCAATAATCGACCATTGTGATCGACCAAAAAATTCAAAAACTTAACCCCCTCTCAAAATTTGAGGTTTCACGTTTCAGGATGCGTAGAATTCGAAAAACGAATAAAAAATTTTTCGTCCGTCCGCCGTCCGCGCATTTTCTCCAAACTACTGGACCGATTTTTTTCTAATTTGGATATAAAATCAGAGGTCACCCGAGGATGATCCTCCTTCATCGACGTTACTATCCGCCTTTTACTTTCAAAATGGCGGCCGAAAAACCTGCGTTGCTATAGACTGTAGCGCCTAAACGAATGTACCGATTTTAATGAAACTTCGCTAAAGTAATTTTCTTGATACCCTTTAAATTTATCTACATAACATATTTCAACGAAAAGAAGCTGGAAAAAAAGTTACGATGGTAAAATTAAATTCCGAATAACTCAAAAAGTTTACACTGTATATGGTTTTTTAAAAGTTTACGAAATTTCCAAAACAAATCGTTAAAATTGGACAATTAGCAGTTTATGGTCTCCGGTTTTTAAAATGGTAATGCTGTTTTTTTTTAGCATATTACTATGATAAAAAAAAAAGTTTAGTCCAATAATTGCAATCACCTTTTATTTATTTTTCTTTGTAACTAGGATGGTAATATTACTTTAGACGTATAATTGTTTGGAAATAATAAACTATTGTGAAATAATTTGCAGCGGTTTTTGGATTACATAGCCTTAAATTTCACTTGAATTGGTCCCAAAAAGGTATTGGTAGGTGATGAGATCTTTTGTTCATGCACTTTCCTATGATATGTATTTTTTCTACAGCTAAAGTTATAAGAAAATCAATTAATAATTAAATTTATTTTAAAAAGTACATATTTTTATATTTATTTAACTTGGATAGCGATTATTATTGTGAATCACTAGGAAAAATATAAATTTTAGATGATATGGCTTCATTATTAAAAAAAAATTGAAGAATGATATTGAATTGAAGTAGGCTTTCATCATCATCGTTGTTGTCATTGAATTGTGAATTTTCATAAAACTGCTGCGATTCATATTTAGTCAAAAACTGTTTCTGGTTGCATAAGATATCTTATATTTAAGGTATGGTTGATTTATACAACTAACAAAAGTTTGCCAGACTACTTCGTGTTTTGGCGTTTTGGTAAATTCGAAAGGTGATAGAAAATATAATTTTTTAAAAACGTAATTTTACACTGAATCATTGCTGGTTGTGTTTTCTCAACCTTTGGTACCCGGATTGGGAGGCTTGAAAAAGTATATTTCGGTTTGTGATGTCCGTAAACGTGTTCAGTCTAGTTCTCGAAATAAACTCCTAAAAAAACAATCGTTTACATAAAACTAATTTGTTCTCGTTCTAATGTAAAATATCTTATGAATTATGAGGACATGTTGCTATCAAATCCCAAATCCAAATCCATGACTTATGAAAGGAAATGTGGCCCATCCTCTCCGAAGTGATTTTTATGTGTGACTTGCTGAATTAATTACTAAAGACATGATATATTTCCATTTTGAATGCCATAGGAGCCATACAAAAATAAAAGAATAAATCGCGCATATTTTTCGATATTAATTTATAAAAGAAATTATGTAGCATGGAGGAAGTATTATCAGCTCCTTTTTTTTAGGCCATGAATCCAGCCAGGGGTGCCCAAAAGAAAGTTTCATTTGGCACAAATTGCACCAATAATTTTGTTGAGGGGAGTACATTTTGACGGGGTTATGATTTTTTTAGGGGAGCACATTTCGACTGGGTTAGAATATGTTTTTTTTAAATAAATGTTTCAAAACAGAGGACAAGAAGATAGAATAGATCACTGAAAGTGTAATTGTATATGAACAATGATTTTTTAAATGCTACTTTAGCTTGCACTGTTTATAAGAAGAGAAGAACAATAAAATATCTTGGGAGAAGGGAGGGGGGAGGTTCATGCGCCATTTTGGGGGTGTTAAAGTTCCTGAAATTAAGCTTACATTTGTAATATGAGGTATTGGTACTTGAGACTGACATTTATTAAAGTTCACCACCACGAATTCCAATCCGACATTTTTCTGGATGTGTATGTAAACAGACTACCTCAAAAACGAAAACTCGCGCGAAACTGAAATTATATATTTATGGTCAATATATACCAAAGAAGTTACAGCAACATTTTCGTACAAGTCGGTTCGTCGGAAGTGTCACTTTACATAGTCAATTTTACACATTTTCTCATAGATCTTTGATATCGCCTAACAGGACTCAAATGTTTGAAATTTCTTCCTCTAATTTACCTTTTATTTAGTTTATTTTAAATAATTGATGGTATTCAATTGTTAGCATTAAAAAAAAGCCCCTATTTAACTACATTCAATCTCTTTAAGGTTATAAACTCACGTTTTACTCATCCATGAAATATTGTTATATTTTAATTCTTCCCTAACGTAAGTAAAGTCAAACACTTTTTAAACAATTTCATCATCTTGATTTGGTGGATTATACGTACTTTTTTTTCAGGTTTAAATACATGCAATAAGTTATAGATATTTACTATGTAATACAATCCTTAGTCTTGTGTGTAGATAGTATAAAAGTTTTTAACACAGCCTCATTTGTTTCCTGAAGTGATTTCCTGATATCACATAGTGGCATCCCTTGTGGGGAAATTAAGGATAATGTTGTTGAAGAGTTGAAAACTGCCAAATTGGAAAGAGCTCAGTGGAGACATTTATTTTTAACTTTAGCTAATTCAGTTGAAAAGAAAATATCTGAAAATGATCTCGAGTTAAAAAAGGAATTTAGATAACTAAAAGCAAGAGTTAAACATCTATTAGAGTTTGAAATAAAAAAAAAAGGCAAGAGCTTTGGTACTAGTTCATAAAAATATTGATGAAAAAGAACTGGAAGATGAATTTGATGCATCCATAAGTTATCAGGACATGTGGATAGAAATAAAAAGCAAATTTGATGATTTGGTTGAGCATTCAAATAAAACTTGGAGTGATGATAATATTGTAATTAATGATTGATGATTGATGATAATTGACTATTTATTATTCAAAAAACGATAATAGGCTAAATGTTTTGTCAATTAAACCCATTTGCAATAATTCACCATCATAACTAAATCTGTAGTTCACATTAATAATGATAATTCCTCTGAAAGTGTCTATTACCGGCACACTTACCTTAAGGTAAAATTGATATTTACTTACAGCGGCTGCTCCACTATCGATGGTCTCGAACCATGCCTGGAAAGCGACCTGAACCTGGAGGTAACAATCTGAAGCGATGCAGATGAGAGGGTATATGATGAAGAATCTTTTGACAAGTTCGTGCGTGAGGAAGCCGCTTGTTTTCACCCAATCTCTCAGGATTACTTGAAAAGCCGACATCTTGAAGGTGTAGCAGATCGATAATTATTCGAATCGATAATTATTCGTCAAAATCCTACCGCTTAAAGTAGAAATGTTAGTGTTTTTTTAAATATCGTTATAGATAATTAAAGTTGAAATACAATTTTTAACTATTAAGGCTAATTATTGACAGTGCTCAATCTTTACATTCATACAATATATAAGTTCGTAATCATACATTATAAATAAAAACATAATACAGTCGACTATCGATCGCATCTCCTTCTAATAATTTGAGGTAAAAACAAATTTAAAATCAATAATTAATAAGCTAAATGAATGAATAAAATGTATAAACTAAAATCGATTAAGTCTACTATCTGACTAGCAACTAACTGCCTAGGGCCGAATAGTAGGCACGTAACTATTTTATTGATACCTAAATGTTACTTGTATTTAAATTTTCATTTAAAATCAAAGATAATTATATACATCAACATAACCTAGGATTTTATTATTCAATCACCCCTTAATTGTCACGTATTATTCTTATTATATTTTTCCGCATAAAACTAGTCTAACTGCGAAAAACGTTGAATTTTTATTTGAGGTTGTACACACTCAGAAATCAAAGATATTTTTCACTTTGTTGCATTATTCATTTTTAGCAGAAAAAGTTCAAGTTATTGGGGGCTACTATACGGTGAAGTGCTATCTGCTATATTTTTTTAGGGCACACCATATCATAAGACGGGGTGAAACCGGATGTCAGGAAGATGGAAACTATACAGAAAATGGTGGTTTACACAGATCTAAAAGGGATCAGGAGATTATTATAGACGGTTTGTTCCGGAAATAGCGGAATAGAAAAATCTTAAAAGGGGCATAAAGTTCTGCTCTTTATAACAAGGGCTGGAAAACAACATTAACCAATGTTGAGCGGTTGCAGGAGGAACCGATATTAGCATTCCCGGACTTTACGAAAACATTTTCAATTACCATCGATGCGATTAATATGCACTAGGTACTGTCCTCTCGTAGGATGGATTAGTAGATGAAAGTCGCGTGGCGTATGCCAGTAAATGTCTTACGGCGGTAGAGCAGGAACTTTTTGGAATCGTATGGGCAGTAGACCGTTTTAGGACATAGAGGTAGAAAATTTAAGTTTTACACGGATCATAGGGCATTGTAATGGATAGTTAGATTGAAGGAATCCTCAGCAAGACTAACAAGATGGAAGGAACTCCTTAGTCAATACAATATGCAAGTAATCTATAAGCCAGGAAAGGAGAATGTCGTAGCAGATTGGCCCCGGCATTGACAAGAAATGGTATTGAGAAGGATGTAGCAGAAACGTCCGGAGACGTAAACAGTTTCTGCGAGAATAGATGGACACCGGGAGGAGAAAGAGAACGCAATTCGCTAGGAGTTGAAGGTGAAAGGGAGTAATCAAGAGAGGCGAGTTCTGTGGAGGACAGACCCTCGGAGCTGATGAAGATGAAATGATGAGTAAAAGTTTCCTGCTTGAAATGGAGGATAACTTGCAATTAAAGAGTCGATATCGGTAGGCTACTCCGTCTTCTTTCAGGCTCATTCAGTAATCTTGAAATCTGCCGCCATCTTGAAGTAGCGAAAGGGAACTAGTACCAAACTTTTTTATTTCAAAAAATGGTTCATTTTGCTATTTAGTAAGCTTTTCCAAGTATAAAGCAGACCCTACACGGTAATTCATGAATGAACGTCACAAGAAGTTCCAAGATTGCCCGCGATCGCTTTGATCATGAAGACCCTTACACGTTCAATCATTACTGATCATTACTTATCATTGCTGATACCAATTTAGCTCAGTTGTAAACAAAGAAACAGCATAGATATGCTTACTTGGACATTGTAATTTATAATATTGGGCATCAAGAGAAAAACGGAGATATAATAATTACTTCCTAGTGCCTGAAAATCATTTAGACCAAAGTTAGTCCAAAATATAAGTCAACTACATACAAAAATCTATGAAAAGTATTGCGAAAATAATCAATTTGTTAATAAAAATGGAAAAATTAATGGCAAATAAACGCAACAGTTAAGGTTTTTTTTTCTATAAGTAAATTGTGAAGTTTCCACTTTTTTTTCTCTCCAATTTATTGCCTACTTGACTATTTAAAGAAAAAATAGTTGAAAATGGTTAATAATAATATAGACTAGGGATATAAACAACTATTTACTTTTATGAAATTATTTACTTAATAACGAGACCTAGGTAAACTAACCTATCTAGTAGTAAGGTTAGTCTCATAGAAAATCGTTTTGACAAAAGTTAGTAAAATATAAATCTACTACTTACAAAAATTAAGGAAAGGTATTGCGAATATAATAAATTTGTTGAGGAAAATAACTGATAAATATACACAACGTTAAAGTTTTTTTTTTCCTAAAGTAAATTGTGAAGTTTCCTCATTTTTTTTTTAATTTGTTGCCCACTTGACTATTTAAAAAAAATAGTTCAAGACGGTTTAAAATTATAAACAAGGGATATGAAAAATTATTTAACTGTTTACATATAATGAAAATCAGAAATTTATAATGGTTGTGAGGCCTAGGTAACCTAACCTATCCAGCAGTATGATTAGTCTCCGCACTACTTTTACCTCAGTCTCCCCTCCACTTCTCGTGAATGAACCTTTGATTTCCAGATGTTCGGAAATCCGCAGTGTACCACCATCAGTACTTCATTCACTACTTTACACGACAATTCGGAACGTCATTAGTGCAATTCCGATTGACCGTGTAGGGTCCCCTTAACATTTCAACTATCAATCAAAAGTTAAGGTTATAGGGAAATGTTTATAGGTTGGACTTAAAGATTAGCCTAAAAAATAAAGTCCTCAATGAGATTACTCAAAGAGATGAGAGATTGGCCTTACAAAACATGATCTGTAACAAATGGTAGTAGGTACAAAAATGCATTTCTAACTGAACAATTTGGGGTTATGATAAAGATTTTATTAGACTACTACAGTTGGAGCTACCAATCCAGTAGATATCATAGAGTATAGGCAACATTAGTTGTCGTTCTATAACTTAGAAAAAATATAAATTTATTGTGATGGAAGAACAATTAACTATCATAATGGAGGCAGAAATATTGTTGGACAAGTGTTCCTATTATAGTGATATGTATAACTAACTTACCATATTTTAGTCGTTCAAGCTGAGTTTCATTCTTTGTTGATTTTCATTTTAAAAACAGATATTCCAGTCGATCCTTTTTTGCATTAAATTAGTCTCCAATCATCATCCAATTATTTTTAAAAATCTAGCTTAACTTTTATTTCTCTTCATCTCAAACCTAGTTATCATGTCTGCTTCTTTGTTAAAAATGAAATAAGGTTATCTTTATGATCTGTACTGTCCAATAAAACGTTACGTTGTTTAGTTCCATAAAATACAAATCTAAAAACTGTAGCACTTTAAATGAGGATAATACTAATCAGTTATAAGAAATACAGCCAACATTAATAGTAGAAGTACAAAATGAGCTGTAATGGAAAATACGAGTTTTGGTCCCTCACATATAATAAAATGAATAGATATAACAAAATAAACTTTATTCAAATTCACATAATAAAAAAGAAAGAAATAATATAATGAAAACAGACGAAAATCCTTTTAAATGTATAAAATTGTGACGCACTGTATCACACAACTTTCAATTACCACCCCACTTTCAGTTGAAATTATTTTTTTTTAATATTTGAATTAAAAAGAAACCCGACTACTGATATGTTTAAATATATATGCAAGTAACTTGCATTAGGGAAGACAGAATTTACTAATTTCTGTAGTTGGGTTTTTTTAACATGTTTAGAATTCAATATATTATTAACAATTTATTTTCATACCATATTATCACATGGAATCATTGTGAATCAATTAGTAATCGAGATACTTAAACTATAATAGAAATATTGTTGAGTGTTTTGTACCCAAATTGTTCCAAAGCATTCACAGGATCTGACTGAGTAATTGTAGCCGTCGAAATTATAAATCATGCCATCCTCTCAAAAAATCGTTACGTGCCTTTTAGTGGATTGATTAACCTTCACACAATAATTTTCCAGAATTTTTGTATATTTCTGTATACAATTTGTATATTGTATAGTCTGAGTTTTAACATTTTGAGTCAGATAGCTCTGGAGTCAGGTCCCAAGGCTTAATAAAATGAACCTTTTCTGCCATTCCAGAACCACTGCTTTCAAAAATGGCAGCTGATTTAAAGAATAATAGGCTAATAATTTGAGGATCGGAACGGGATTTATATTGCGAAAAATATGAGCAAAGTTGTCATTTTTTAAACTTTTGTATATGGGTTCAAAAATGTAAAACCAAAATTACTAACGCGAGCAACCAAGAGAAAACTTTATCTAGTAAAAAAAAACATATTTTTTTAATGTTCTTTTTAAAAAATTAAAGAACGTTAAATTGTGCGTCGAACAAGACCTATACTTAATAATTTGGTTAAGTGGTATGGTAGAAAATCACGTTCAACGAACGCTGATTTTTACCAAATTTGTCAAAAACTGAGTCCAAATTACTATAAATGGCCCTGTAGCTTTGGAATGAGTTTCATAAGAGGAAAAACCCATAGAATCAAAGTTGTAGAGCATTAAATTTTTCGTCTACTGAACACCTACAGTTTAAATGTAGGCCACTTATTCCGCACAAAATCGGTAATCCTCCGATGGCTGAAAACTGGCAATGAAAATATATATAATTTTCAATATTTCAACAGTATAGGAACCTGTTCAACTGAGTTATTCATGTTTAGAGTCTGATATATGCAGTATAGACTTCTTTTCCACCTCTCAGCGGCGAAGGATTTTGAGAAACGAAATTTTTGTCGAAAGAAACCGGTTTTCATGAAGAAATAATGAATCCCGATCCGAGAGACATAATTGACCTACATTAATAATGTTAGTACTCAGTGAGCGCAAAATTTGATGCCCTACAACTTTGATTCTATCATTTTTTGGTCTTAGGGAATTCATTTCCAAGCTGCAGAGCCAATTATATTCATTTGTTTCAATTTTTGATAAATTGGGTTAAAATGTGTTCGTTGACCATGGTTTTCTACCATACCACATAACCAAATTATTAAGTTTAGGTACTCGTTCGACGCACGATTTTAGGTTCTTTAATTACTTAAAGAGAACATTGAAAAAATATGGCTTTTTGGCTGTAAAAAATGTTCTCTTGGTTGCTCGCATTAGCAATTTTAGTTTACATGTTAAACTCATATACACAAGTGAAAAAAAAATGACATTTCCCACATTTTTCGCAATATAAATTCCGTTTCGATCCTCAAATTAATGGCCTAATATTCTTTAAATCAGGCGCCATTTTTTAAAGCAGCGGCTCTGTAATGCATGACAAGGTTCCTTTTACTTAGAATCACAGACATTTTCGTAATTTACAATCAAACCATCGCCTGCAATCAAGTCGATTCTTGGGGCTTGTCTGCAGAGCTAAGACCTTAATTGATGAATCTAAAAGAAGGGACCTCAAGCGTTCAACTCAAAAAAGAAATACTTCAAGACCTTGCAATGTTAGAAAATATATTGGGAAAACTCGAGGGAAAATACCAAATTAGACTGGTAATAAAACTTGATCGAAATTCCTGTCTTTTTAGAATACCAGGATAGTATTTTGTTAGATAATTTAGGTGAATGCGTCAATGAATTTCAAGATTTTCACTTACATCTAGATTTGTAATCGATTTGATTTTGAATATTTAAGATATGTAAAAGTGGATTTACTAAAAATAAATGAAATACAAATGTTACATTTAACATTTTTATTTTTATTTTATATTACCTAGTCCATCTTTCTGACCTTATCGAATGCTTGAGTTAGGTCGACAAAAGAGGCATATGCCTCGTTTTTCTTTTTCAAGACCTTTTCTGAGATCTGTCTCATCACTAATATTAGATCTTGGGTGCTTTTCTGTGGCCTAAACCGTATTTTTCTTTTTCTACGGTCCATTCAACGAATTCTCTTAGTATATATTAAAAGATATGTTGTATGGTCTTATCACCGCGGTCATCATTAGTAGAATGGCTAATAAGAGAACTAGGTCGTTAGGCTATCTTCTCCAGTCAAACAAAATCTTGTCAAACACCACCAATGACATCTGTTCACTCCAAAGAACAAGAAATCCAGCCAGATTCATCATCACAAGAGAACATTCAAGAACCTCAGCCTCAACCAGATACATCATCACAAGAGACAATTGAAAAATCTCCCCCTTTTACTCCTAACCCCTAAAGGTGCTTCGGAATGACAGAGAGGTAATAGAGTCCGCACTGATACTAAGAGACCTTCTCTGATATTCTTTAAGAAGATAAAACATTTTCAGTTTTTATGTTCACAAATAAACAAAATAGGAGGCTCAGGAAGCTACGCATGTCTAAGCAGAATAAAGGACACCAAAATATCACCAAATACAACTCAAACTTATAGAAAAGTTGTGAATTATCTAACAGAGACCAAAGCAGATTTTCACACGTATCAATTGAGGCAGGAGCGAGCTTTAAGAGTAGTTATATGAAACCTAAACCCCTCAACACCAACTGGAACAATAGAAGAAGAAATTAAAACTTTAGGTTTTAAAGTGCGCTAGGTAATCAATGTTCTAAAGTAGAGTAAACAACAGCGAGGAGTAAAAGTTCCTCTACCCCTATTTTTTATAGACTTGTAACTGACTCCAGGGATCGGTAAAATTTACCAAATGTACAGATTATACTACACATGTGTAAAAGTGGAGAAGCCAAATCCTAGGAGGAATATCGTCCAGTGCCACGATTACGAGGCATATGGCCACACAAAGAAGTATTGCTATCATTTGCCGTGTTGCGTAAAATGCCATGGACAACACAAGACCTAAACAAGAACCTGCAGTTTGTGATTTGCGCCATGAAGGACAACCGGCAAACTACAAAGGCTGCCAGATATACAAGAATATTAAATCCAGATACCAAGAAGAAACTGAAAAATCCGGATCAAGAGAAGAACCTTCAAAAATCATAGACCCGATGGTCTCTTTTGCACACCTATTAATAATAATAATACTTTATTTATTAGGAGGTAAGAACGAAATTACTTATTGTGAGACACTACCACAACAACAATATTTACTTCAAAATTCCCAACCCCACCCTCAAAATCCTACTATTCAAACTTCACTTAATCCTCAACAATTCTATCAACACCAAATTCCTATTTCATCAAATACGGATCTCTCCAGTTTACTAACATCTTTCCTCTCCGAATTCAAATCCCTCGTTACTCCTTTGATATCCCTTCTTACCAATCTTGTATCACATTTTAACACTCTCCAAAAAAATCCTTAAATGACTTAAAATAAACCTATATCCATTCTCCTTTGAAATGCGAATGGTGTTAGAAATCATACAGATGAACTATCTGCATGAATTATTACTTGACAAGAACATTGTCGTGGCACTAATTAATGAAACTTGACAACTCTTCAAAATACCACAATACATGGCATATCCTACTGACCACATTTACCGAAGAGCTTCCAAAACCAATCACCTACACAAGATTTCTTACAATCCAATGCTACCATAATAAAAACCTTCTCCTTTCTGGTTACCTTATATCAGTGTATTGCCCTCCTAACTGATCCATATCCAATGCCCACTTTAGTTCATTCCTCCACTCCTTAGGACATCACTTCATCTTGAATGCAGACTTAAAAATGCCAAGCACCAACAATGGGGTTTCTGAACCACAAATACCCATAGCCGAACCCTGCTGTCTGCACTCAATTCCCAACATTTTCATCTCCTTTTCCCCAACTCTCCTATCTACTGGCCCACAGATCCTAACTGGTAATCCTGATATCCTTGATTCCTTTATCCATAGCGGCTTAGGTCTCTTCAATTGCTCCATTACACATCTAAACAAACTATCCTCTGGCCATAGTCCTCTAATTCTTAATGTTTCACTTGAACCCGTTCCCAAACCTTCTCCATTGTCATTTATCTGGGGCCCTGTTAACTAGGATCTTTTCTGCCAAATCCTCTCCGATAAAATTGATCTCAATATTTCCCTAAAAACTCCCGATGACCCAGATAGTGATGTCAATTCCTTTACTACCACAATCCAACAAACTACCTGGACTGTCTCCTCCTCAAAAGATTCTCCAAAAATACCATTCTACCCCAACATCTCCTTGACCTAACCCAGTGGTAGGCAATGTGCGGCTGCAGAGCCACATGTTGCTCTTTGGCTGTGGCACAAATATCCACGGAAAGTGCAATATTTTCATTTAAAAAAAAATTGGTAAGAAAATAATTACATATTATTTTGATAAATTAGGAATTTAAAAACTGCAGAGCAACTTTAGCATTTGTCCGAGATCTTCTTAATGCTACAATAACCGAGTTGAAATTTACTCCTTTTCAGATTGACATTGGTAGCTTTGAAATACTATTGCTGGATTTAAAAAACAAGGAGATATGGTGCTCTAAATTCGAACGTCTTTGTGTTGGATTGGAAAAATTGGAGAAGAAAAATATATTTTTTTAGTGTAGTTCACAACACAAGTGGTCTGTTTTGAATGACCTGGAGAAGGAAGACATGAAAATTTTCAACGCTTGGAATAGTATTCCTGACTCTTGCGATCAGCTGAAAAAGCTCGCATTTGCTGTTCTTTCCCTTTTCAGTTCTACATCTATATGCGAACAATCTTTTTCAAGCATGAACATAATCAAGAGTAAACTGCTAAGCCATCTTATTGATGAGAATTTGGAATCATACCTAAAATTAAAAACAACATACAAACCTGATTTACTCAAACTTTCCAAGGAGATGCAAGCACATTGTTTGCATTAATAAATATTTAATAAGTATGAAATTTAGTTTTATTTAGTGTACTACTTATTTAGTGTAATAAAAGTTCACTAAACAAGCAGATTTGGCTTCCAATTTTTTTAAAAATTGTTGCAATGTTCATATTTGGCTCTTTGGCTAATAAGTTTGCCCACCATTGACCTAACTCATATCAAACTCAGTACCAGATTGTTATGGCAACGCATTAGACATCCCACCATCCCCAGATCCTTTAATTATTACTGTAAAAAACTAAAACTGGAATTAGCCACCTTCAGATCACAATCCTTTAACTCCTACCTATCCTCCCTCTCTGCTTGTGTTAATTCCCTTTGGAAAACCACAACAAAAATCCTAAACCCTCACCACATTTCTCACCCCCTACCACATCCAACGAAGATAAAGCCGAGAAGTTAGCAAGACACCTATCCAATACATTTATTTCACATCCACACCGTAACAGCAGATGAATTCCTTACACCACCTATCCCACTTTCCTTGCCCCTAAAGCAATTCATCCTTCTGGAGTGAAATTTCAATTACAAAAACTAATTCCCTGTAAATCTCCTGAATATAATCTGCTTACCCCTCAGATCCTTTGACAACTTCCATCCAAAGCAGTCATATTCCTTACATATATCTACAATTGCATCCTATGTACTACCCACGTTCCTCTATTATGGAAAACTCCACTATTATCCTTTTCCCAAAACCAGACAAATCTAACAACTTGACATTCTATAGACCAATTAGCCTACTCTCAATCATTTCAAAAATCCTTTTGAAACTTCCCATCAGTTTGGTTTTAGATCAAAACATTCCACTGTTCAACAAGGACTTCGTTATAGACTTGATTATAATCAAATAAATAAATCTATAGTTAAAATAGATTTAAGGTCCCAAGACCTACAACAAATATTATTTATCATCCTTAATATTGATAATTGGTCTAATACACCTCTATTTAATAGCAATATCTGTATGTAAGTGCTTTTAATAAAAGCCCTGAAAGAGCAGTTATTCCAAATTTTGTAAGCCAGATCGTAACCACATCTTATCCCTTACGATAAAATCCTGATAACTCTCGGGTATCAAACCCATCATATTGACAAACAGAATATACAATTCCATCCCACCAATATACATTGCAATTTTTCTTCTATTATTATTAGTCAATCAAACAACATTTAAATTTAGCATTTATCCATTAGTAACTAGATTAGATCAAAGGTGAACTTCAGCTGCCACACAAAAACTGAAAAATTGCTAGGAATAATCATTTAAAAAAACAATAAGAAAATATACGATAGATAAAAATCAAAAAGTTATTAAACTTGGTTTATAAATTTGAAAATGTTACACAGTGCTAAAGTTGTTTCTCAAATGTACATTTAATCATCATTCAAACTATTCTCCAATACATGACTATAGGGCATCACTTTAATATTATCCTTAAATTTTATCTTAACAATAAAAATACTTTACAAAAAAAAAAATTCATAAAATAAAAATAATATCTACAAAAATATGTACACATCAATTTTTTAATCGTAATATAAATTATAAAATATATTGTTTTACACCATTGTTACTTAAAAACATATTTTAAAATAACATGCATAAAAATATAAACTATGATACAATTTTTCATATGCATAAAAAAATACTTAAAATTAGAAAAAAATTAACAATTTATTAAAAGAATACATATATATTAAAATTTAACAATGATTATGAAAGTAAATAATAGTAATAAATGATCTTTTTTTTCTTTCAATTTTTTATAAATAACAATAAAATATAACAAAGACTTACTAATTTATATAAATTAATAAAATAAATCCTATTCTGTTATATTTCTATTCATTGATTTTTTTTTTAATTATATTAAACTTTTGTACTATATAATTTTAAATTAGAAATGACACATATTCAAAAGATGAACTCTCTTATCTATTTCAGCAATCTAAATGTTAAAGCATTCCAAGCATAAATTTCAAAAATTCATTCATCAAAGAAATTTGGCTGATTCAAAATAATCTTATCTAATTAGCCACAATCACATTGATTGAAAGATTTAAAGAAAAAAAATTGTTTACAAGAAAAAGGTAATGATTTCCAATAATTTGGAGTTGGAGGAGGTTTTTTTTTTACGTCTAACTAAAGGCATAAAAAGAACAAATACATTTTGATGCAAGACACAATAAAACTTAACAAAACACTTGGAGGATATTTTGTGAAACACCTAAAGAAGTAGGTGATCAAATCTTAAATAAATATAGAAATTTGGGGTGGTGGGATTAAAAATTAATCAATCAATTATTGTCATAATTGATTAAAGTAGAGTTCCTAAATATTGAGCTTTCGTATATCCCGCTATTCCTATAATATATATCACTAAATTATAAAATCCTCGACCAAATTTAATCAAGTTTGTTCAGAACTTTGCTGAACTTCTGGAGGCACAATGCGAAATTTCTTGTGTTCTAAAGACATGATTATACTGTAAGAGTAGTCCAATAAAAGGTTATCATCAGTTAATTCAATAAAAGAAAAAGTTTAATGTTTGAAAACAATTTTTTAAATAAGTATTGTGAATTTTGGAACGGTCTAATATTTATAGATGGGTCTCCTTTTAATATTCATGGTAGTAATGGCGGAATTGTGATTTGGATGAATACAAATTTATAATTAAAAGACAAAAATACACATGGAATAGTTAATATAGAAAGGAGTAAGTGATGTTTTGCCGTTTTTCTCTTTAAAAGGGATAGGAAACCATGTACGCACAAACAGGAATCAAATAAATATAGGGATTAAAGCTAATTTTAAATTTATCACGATAATGACCCTAAATGTTATATTAATTAAATGCCTCAAAGACAAAAAGATTTAATTAAACAAAAATGTTTATGACCAAATATTGATATATTGCTATTCCATTAATTAATTTTTTTCATTTATTATGTACTGTCCAAGTACTTTTGGCAGTTCTGTTTTTAGTTTTATGGTAACACTCCTTTAAACATTGACAAATGGGTTCAATAACAGATTAATATATATATAAAGAATTTAGAAATAAAACTTTTCATTTATTCCAAATACCTTTGACATTTAATGTAAATAAGAGGAACAAATCTAAAGTAGAATCAATAACATAATTTCTGGATGCTTTCATCCTCAGAATGCTAATGACTGTGGTCAAATTATAAAATATAAATGCACCTAAAATTCGGAGGGAGGATGATGCTTATAGACAACTTGCTTTCATTATTACCATCAACAAATGTATTCATCTGAAATGGATAACTAAATAATTTCCTTTGGTTTTGAAAAAAAATCTAAAAGTAGTAAATGAAATTGTAATTTTAAACAAATAAATAAATAAAATTAAAATATCTGATGAAGCCTTTTTTCAAAACAGTTTGAAACATAAAAACATGCATTACGCCAGCAAATTTTTTGCATGATTGGAAAATAATTAAAACTTCCAACAAATGAAACACAATTAATAGATAAGAGAGCTATGTTTATAAAAATGTCAATATTAAGAAATGTTTCCTAACCATTTTCAGCTAAAATAGTAAAACTAAACTACATGGTTAGATATAAAATTATTTACATATAAAAACCTATGAAATTTGAGTTCTACCAACCATAACATGAGTAATTAAAAATTTGGACAAAGCTTATTTTCCAATGCTGTTAAACTTGAGTAGAAGACCAATCTGCATTTTACATTTTCGTGATTTCAATTATATGTTTCCTCGATATTAGTTAAAATGCATGGAAAGGAAGGCCTAATAGTTGTTTATTATATAAATAAACATAATTTGATATAATTTTCTGTAAGGAAAGTATAATAATAATAATATTAAAATGGGTAAATCAGTCATATATTCATTTGAATAATTAATTGATAATTATTATTAAATTTTAAAATATATATAATGCACAGTACATTAATTAATTGCAGCTTTACCTCACAGTTATGGTCTTCTAAACAAGTATCATTACATTTTCAATCAATACAAGCAAAAAGATATGAACTTTATTAATTATTTGGTAACCTATATAATAAAATTAATTATTATAACGACATTCATAGGAATAATGAAAATGGTAATTTTAAATCAATAATATTGCAGTGTAGTATAAAGATATTTAATAATACAGAAATAAATAAATCAAGTAAATTAAATTATCTAGAACTGTTAGCATCTTATTAAAACCAATTCCACTACATTACGTTAAGTGAAGGAAAAAAAAAAAAAAAATGATGATTTTTAATTTTTTCTTGATTTATAACGAAACAAAAATAGAAAACAATTCATTCATCATTGTGTGATGTTCCAATAACTGATGATAATAAATTATAAATAATAATAAATTTCCCATAACACTATAAGAAATAAACAAATAGCATACCATTCTTTACATTAAAAGTTTATTTTTAAATCTACACATCAACTCATTTTTTACATTAAAAATTAAAACTCTTTGTAATCACAATTCTGTGAAAAAACTGACATCTTAAGTCTTTCACTCTCGTACGCACACATGTAGATATTATACATATATACACAACTTACGAAACTGATCACTATATTAATAGTCCAATGCCCACTCATTTTCTTGGAGGAAGTTATCGACAACATCTTTCATAGCGAAATTTGGTATCAGCTGATCTTGAGTTAACTTCACTCGAGTAACAGGATCAAAGTGACCCACCCTCTGGTTTATATATATAAAAAAAAAGAAAAATTAATACAAACAAACACAGTTAAACCTCAGAGAATAATATAGCTCAGTGAGTAAAACACTCCTGGTTCTGAGTTCAAGTTATCTTTTAAGCCATTTTTTATTTAGTTATTATTAGGCTATGGTAGGTAATTATTCATTCTATTACATAAACTGTCGATCATATCATGGGTTGAGAAACCCACTTGGGGCATACCAGGCTTCTATAAAGTTGGTACTCTTAATTAATTAACAGGACAGATTAGTGGTTAGATAATCTCCTCTTTGCCCAACCATTAACCAAGAATCAGTCATTCCTTACAAAATACTAAACTCAAGATCCTTCATGTATTGTAATGGTACAGTTTTATTTTTTTAAACCATCCATAGTGTAGCATAAACTGTATCCACAGGTGGTAGCTTAATCCACTATTTGAGAGAAAAAAAAAATTATAACTAAAAGAAATCTTTCTTCTCATAAAAACACAAAAAAAGAAATTGGGCACTTATAGGTTTCAATTAAAATGGATTTCCCCCAAAACCACTTATGCCGTGTCATGCTTTAGGAATTCAATAAAGGAGAAAATGCTGATTCAATTTATCGGCAGCTTATAGAAATACATGGGGAAAATGTTATAAGTGAATGGCAAGTGCAGAGGTGGTTTGAAAACTTTCGGGTGGGAAACTGCAAACTTGAAGACGAGCCTTGAACAGATCAACCAATAGAGCTTGACGACCAATTTCTGAGGACTTCTGTTGAGGAATTAGCGGAAAAACTTGGATCGACAAATTCAACAATTGACAAAATCGCAGCTGATAGGTAAGGTACTGAAATTGGGAAAGTGGGTCCCTCATGAGTTAAGCATTGATAATTTACGTTGGTGGATGAACAAAAGGCCATCGTGTGGGCAGAGTTACCGGGCACCACAGCTAGGGCCTGCCACAGATTGGGGACAAACTAAAACCAATTGATAGGGAACCAACTTTAAATAAGAGTTGACAACAAAAGAATATTTAGTAAAAAAGCTTATAAAACAAATCCTTATGTAATAGGCAATTGTAAAATATTTTTTAATATACAAATTAGAAAATCCTTTCCATATGCAATAGTTAAATAATGACACATACTTTTTTCATAATCTGACACTGTAGCCTAACATAAACACTTATTTTGTTTATAGTTTAATGAGAAAAGTGTTGGCTGTTGGGTTTATTTCTGTGAATAGTATTAGGTCACATCTGTTCAACGGTGAAGATCATACAGAAACTCTAGTAAACATACTCCCTCCCTCCACTGAATCTTCATCCTACAACTCAATAAGCTAACACCCAAACGAACCCTATCAGTCCATTTTATTCCATTCGAAGTGTTAAATATAACAAATAATTATTCTCAAATGCGAGATTGTGAATTTTTTATAAATTAATTTGAGTAGTTTTATTTTGTTTTAATTGCGTGAAATGTTTAAAAGCCATTGTAATATCAGTTTTTAGTGATTAAAATTACAGCAAGCTGGGACGAGATTTGAAATGTATCTCTACTTAATCATTTAATTCTCTTGCTCTATTTGAACAGGTGATAATAGGATATTAGCCTATTTGGGATGGAGCGGGAGGAGGGAATTCCTCCAATAAATTCTCGCCTCGGGCACCAAAACTCGTGTGGCGGTCCTAGGTGAACACTTGCTTTTATGTCCTCGCCTGTTTAGATCAAGAACAATATATAAACAGAATAGTAAATGGAGATGAAAAGTGATGTTTTATCACAATGTTCGAGAGTCATGAAAGTGGTTAAGTATTTTAAAAACACTTAGAACAGAAGCGAGAGAAGGATTTCTTCCGAAAATGTAATGACGCCTGTTTGGTGGAATATGGAAGGAAATGAAGGATTCCTTCTATGTCCCATATCCATATTCCAGGAATTTCTAGATCTTAACCAAATTATCACTTAAGATTTCTACAGTGATCGGCTGGATCAATTAAAGCATGCAATCGAGGAAAAATGTCCTTCACTTATCAATAGAGGAAGCATTTTATTCCACCGTGAAAAAGCAACGCCCCATGTTGCAAAACAAACATTGGCGAAATTGAAGGACTTTGGGTAAGAAATTATTCCTCACCCACCATATTCTCCTGATTTGGTGTCTTCGGATTATCATCTTTTTCGCAGTCTCCAAAACTCATTAAGTGGCAGAAAAACGAATTCAGTTGATGAAAAACATGGTGTTTGCTTTCTTTAATTCAAAATCAAAGGATTTTTAAGAAAAGGTAAGCAAAATTTGGTTTCAAGATAGCAAACTGTTAGAAAACAAGATGGTAAATACATTTAAGATTGAACGTGTTTCATTAATTTTATCCTGCCCCTTATAACACAAAATTAAATACAGACATTACTTATAGAATGAACTGGTAGCAAAATATGATTGAAATTTGTTAAATATTTATGTGATTTTGTTAATAATATAAATTCTACTATACAGAAAAAAGTTTGCCAAGTAAGGTCAGTATAGCTTTCTCGCTATTTTCATTAGATAAACAATATCTAAATTTTAAAGTCTATAATTTTTAGTAAAAGAATAAAACCTACAGGAGAAGCCGTTTTCGGAAATACAGTAACTCGTTAACATTCGCGGGTTTGCTATCCACTAATTTTGTTTATCAATGAATATTAAAATGCAGAAAAGTTCCATATTTGCAAATCGCGAATTTAATGAATTGTGAATAAAAAAAATCACAGTACATACTGAAGATTTATATCACTACTGTTGGTGCAAAAAGTCGTACGTAAAAATCGAGTGTTTTACAGGAGAGCATAAAAACTAATTATTTCTTTATGATTTATTAGTGTAATTTCATATTTTATTTTCCTGTGCTATTTTTCAAAGTACCAGGCTGCCTATATCAGCTGCATATTACGAAATGTCACCTTCAGCACCAATAGAATAAAAATGGAAAATTGTTACATAGGACCTTTTGCACTAATAGTAACGATATATACTTAATAGGTATGTTTTCACTACTGAAATGGATAAGAAAAATAACCCATTGGAAAAATTAAACTTTTTGTTTGTTCGGAGTTAGCGAGACCAATATTTTCCCTCAGTCAAAACTAAATTAATTTAAGCTGGAATATAAAAATATGATTGAAGTTCACACAACTTTGATGATTAAGCAGGAAATTGATACCATAACGAGCTAGTTGAACTTCAATAGAAATAAACAAAATCACAAATAAGACTTTTTTTTACTAACCAAAAAAAAAAAAGTTAATTAATACTTAGTGAAAATTACATGAAATCTAAGTGAAGGCAGTAAACCAGTAACATTTGTAATCAACTGAACAATACATTATAAATTAACTTTTTCAATAAAACCTAAAATGTTATAACCTAATAAAAGTATTGTATTAACCTAACCCATATTCCATGTCATCAACGCCTTCCACATTTCACAAACATTAGATTGTCAACAGTTATTTATATTAATTTTAATTATTAAATGGAATTAAATAAAATTCGCACTAGACAATTTCTGAACTGTTCTCCTCATTGACTCCAAGTTTGGGTCAAATTGACAAGCTGTTTAAAACTATAGGCCTGTCAGATTTACTGATCCGAAAGCGGAAGTATTTTTTTTTTTTTAGAGTATTGGATAGAATTTGATTAAACTAATCCTTAACTTCCCTCCAAATTTGGGTCAAATTAAACTAGTGGTTATAGAGATATAGACATATCAAGGAAAACACGTTTGCGCATATATAAGAGAAAGTAGATGACAGAATTCAATAAAATCGATATAGAATCATTATTTTAACAAAGCCCACCTTTCTTTAACTTCGAGCCAAATCGAATGAGCCGCTTCTGAAATATTGGCATATCTATGAAAATACGTTTACGTGTGCGCAAGAGGGAGTGGTGGATGGAATTTCATAAAATTGATATGGGACCAACTAGCCACCCGCACAATCTCTGAAAATTTCTTGAAAATCGGATAAACGGCAGTAGGTGATATGCCCGTAGCATCGATTTGACTACAGACAAACAGAGGCCAAACCAAATCTGATCTTTGATGTCTGAAACGTAAAATGTGAGTGGAAATTTTCTATTCTGAGCAAAAAAAATTTTTTAACCTCTCACACGAATACAGTGCTTCCATACCTTCGGTAGTGAGGAAGCAAAATTCTAGTTCCAAAATTACACAAAAACAACTAGAAGTTCCAGAAAATAAAAGTTCCAGTCATACTGGAACTGATTAAAAATAAATCAGTTTTTTTTTCAATATTTATTAGTTAGTTTTATTCAATAAATCAGTTAAAAAAGTTAAAAGAAAACTTTTTCATTTCATACTCTGTTTCTTACAATATTTCATAATTCTCTCATTTATTAAAAATTTTCATCAGATTAAATCAAGATGTTTTACAAGAAAACATGTACCACTACAACCTATGAAGATTCTTCGGCTTAGTACTTCGTCAGGAAGTACGGCCAAAGATTGTGCAGGGAGGTGATTGATTTTACAAGAAAAAAAAAGTATATTTTTAATAAACCAATAGTAATAAATAAATTTGAACTACTTTAACTCATAAGTCTCTGGTAACCCAACTAGAAAGTCAGTTCAAGGATAATGTAACAGAAAGAAACTGTATTTATCAATGATAGATCCTAATCTAGATCCGGGTTTCAGAGTTTCAGTGCCTTGCCCATAGAGTTACCCCATTCCACCCAAGACAGGATCATTGAGTAGTCAATTAAAAACTACCATAAATTATAACTCATTGACAAAGAAAAAAAACTTTAAAAATTATTTTAATTCAATCCTATTTCATCAAAATCATATTTTACATAATATATTATACTTTTGTCAGCCTCTTTCATCTCCATGGATTTTTTTTTTTTCAATCAATACAGAATTAACAGGATTCTCATTAATTTGAGATAAGCTTACCTAAGCCAAAAGATTTGATATTGACTGAAGGATGAAAGAGAATACAATAAAATGAGAAGATAATGAACAAAGCACATATAACCCTCCTCAATTTAGGTTTTGGCACCCCATAACCATGCTACCACAAGCTTGCAAGTATTTTTGACTTGCCCAATAGGTATTTGATGAGTTGGGAAGATTATTATTGATCCAAAAATATGACATTTCTTAAGAAATAAACAAATATTAGCAAACTGGAATTATAAAACAAACAAGTTTAAGAAAATTACCTGCAAATGTTCCTCTATATCTTTCCGTTCATAAGTTATTCCACTGGGTGTTATAACTGGTTCACGAAGTATTTCAAAACTAATTTTTCCACATAAAAAGTCAGGAACATCTCTTTTCTAAAATCAGCAATAATTGTTAACATTAATATTATATAAAAAATTGAAGTTAATAACAACTTACAAGGGAAGAGGAGCAAAATATTGAAGTTTTATTTGTAGATTGCAACAAAAATTCTTATTTAAGGGATTTTACAGGTTGAAAAACCAATTTTTCGAAAAAAAAATATCCAATGAGATATGGAAGGGAAGTAAATGTTATAGTAAATCTATGTCTACAATATATGCTTTATTCTTATTTACACAATGAATAGGGAAAACATAGAAGGTTTTGACTGCATTTTCTGGATGTATCCATTTTAGGAAAAAATTATAATTTATAATTATGATTTAGTACAACTACAGTATGTTACAATTTATACTGATCAAAGGAGTAAAGTTCAACTTTTTTTTAAATAGAAACAAACTTGACTTCCATATTCGTACCTTGAAAAACCAATAAGCATTAATTTCCATAGCAATTGAAAAATATTTTTTGTTTTGCCCAAAATTTTTGCCAATGGTAGCCATCAATTTTTCATTTAAAAATGATAAACGATAAATTATCAATTTTATTGTGATTTTAATAAATTATGAGTCTTGTCTATTTAGTTTATCATCACAATTAAAGAGATAAGTCGTTCTATAATATATTCTTGTAATGTAATAATTACAGAAATTTCAATATGAGAAAATTGGAATTTAATGATTTTTTATTGCATGCTAATAATAATAACATAATTATCATAATCATGATGATTATCATCAAAATTACCATAATTCAAGTTTTAGAAAAATTAATCAAGGTACCATGTAGAAATGTGAATATAAGATAAGTTTCTAAACAATAATCCCAATTTTTCTAAATAGCACAAATTCTCACTTAGTTCTTCAATTGATCAATATCATAACAGATAAAAAAGATAATAGACGCTTGAGTCATCAAAAGCGGTATATAGTTAACCTAAGCATCAATGACAGGAGTTAATGACTACTTACACGTCTTCTATCATCGACTTTGGCAAACAGAGCATTTAATTCGCTTATATAATTATCCTGAAACAAAGTAATATTTAGAAAAGAAAATACCCTAAAGGCTTATTGTGAAACTTTTAAATAATTAATTTTTTAATAAATTAACTAACACATTTTGATTCGATTTCCATTACTTTGTCTTTCAAATATTCTCCACAAAAACCATCACTATTCTCCTTCACTTTTTCAATTTGCCGTTGTGCATCTTCATGAACTAATCTTGTAAGATAAGTCTGCAAATATTAAATTAAATAATTGGTGGATCCCTAATGTTCAATAAAATGCATTCAAATAGACAAATAATTACAAGAAGTTCAATTTCCTGAGTTATACGTTTTTCCTCCTGAACATTCCATCTCTTTTTTCTAGCTATTCTTAGTTGGCTAGCTATATCGTCACCAAAGTTTAATTTCTGCTCTTTTGCAAGATCATTTGCTGAGGAAAACAAGAAAAGTAGTTACATAAAACCATAGTTAAAAAAAATTATAAAAATCAAACGTAAAAATTAACTAAATAACATATCTCATCCATTTTTTTTTCTTTCATAATTCCCACTACTCATTTTCCAAAACAATGTTTAATCAAGAAAAAATATTTTACCATAAATATATAACACACAAATTTGAGCAGTACTCTTAAATAAATATATATCATTGTTATAACAATTTATATATTTTTTTTTTTCGGTTGGTGCTACAGAATTTGTAGATCTTTGACCGCGAGATGTGGTTCTAGACCACATCCTGAGTCCTGATAAATGGGTACACATAGCCTACCCAGGGGTAAGTACACGGAGGTAGTCATCAGTCCTATGCCCGGTTGGTGTGAGTTGCCTCCGTATGTGAGGCCAGCTGACGGGCTTTACATACCCGGGGGGAGGGAGGGGGGAAAGGGGATCTCAGGCAGCATGGCTTTCCCTGGTGGGGGTCACCCATCCAAGTGCTAACCACGCTTGGCATTGCTTGGTTACCAATTGAAAGCGCCTTAGCCCAGTCTATATATATATATATATATATAGATATAGATATAGAGTTAGGAATTCTTAAACTAAATAACTAAATATATATATATGTGGGGGCTGGGGTAGCCGTCTGGGCTAAGGGGCTTTCAATTGGTAACCAAGCAATGCCGAGCGTGGCATATATATATATATATATATATATATATATATATATATATATATATATATATATATATATATATATATATGTATGTATGTGTGTGTGTGTGTATATGAGTCAGGAAGTCTCAAACTAAATCCTGCACTCTACAAAAATCATTCTTTTCATTCTACAAAAATTCTAAGTTTGATAAGCCTGACTTGGAACTCTGAATAAACCCAACATAATAATTCTAGGATAAACCAAAATTGAAATAAGAAAAAGAATAATTAACAACAAATAAAGCTAAGATCAGTTTTATTGGAGACAGAGAAGATATGCAAAATAAAAAGTTCTCAAACAATCATTCATATAACACGAGAAAAAATATCTAATTAACTGAAGGACTATTTACAAATAAGATTTTTTGAAAATATACTTTTATTTTTAATTTAATCTATGTTGTATTACCATTACTATAAGGAGGGTTCATTCAGAATCCAATCAGTATAAGGCAATAAAATATAAAAACGAGATAATTATATGTTTTTTAAATGTAACATAGAAATATACCAGTGGTTTTAAAGAATAAATTGAATGCATTAATTATGGTACTTGTCACTTTCTGCAGGATTATTGTTTTCTTAGTTTTTGATAAAGATACAAGCGTTCTTTGGTCGATGGAAGGCAAACTTTTATCAAACAAGCTGTAATTTTGAGATATATGTATGATAAAACTTTAAGAATATGTTTCTTTTATTCCTTTTACAGTTCTACAATTAGAAACAGAGAATCTTGAATATAAGAATAGTAATCAGCCTTCCTATAGAATAAATCTTAATGTTTATTTTGGAGGATGGAACATCATTCTGTAAGTTTTTTTTAGAGATAATATAATTATAAAAGGTATTTAGTGTAAAACAATACACATTACTAAATTCAACCAAATCATGTCAAAACTCATTTTTAGAAGTATTTATATTAATTAGAAAATACATAATCCTGGCTTTTGAAAGACCAAATATTCCTGAGTGGTCTAACGAAATTAAAACACATTTGAAGGATTATAATGAGCAAACTTCGGAGACAAACTTCATATGTTTTCAGCTTGCTGTTGATAACCAATGCCTGAAGAAAAAGTCATTTTCGATTTGTGAACAGGGTAGACTGATATTAAAATCATTTAAAGAATAATTTATACAGGTTATTACTTTTAATCCTAAGTTACATCAATTGGTATTGTGTTGACTGACTTAAACTGACTAGTTTCTCAACAATTCTGTTCATTTATTTTGTGGTCAGTATAAAAAAACCCTGCCTTTTTTTAAAACTTCGTGTGACTACAGAACTGATAAAGATACTACAAAAAAACATGGAAAATAATTCATTAAAAATCACATAATCCTATTCCTCAATAGTAGTTGTTAGTTGGCATAAATTATACCAACAATAAATATCTATATCACAACTTTTGAATACCAAATATCAGGGCAACCCACCTCTCTGTAAATGTTTAATAGCTTCATCATAATTCTCCATCTCTAGCAAAGCTTGACCCAAAAAGAAATGTCCTTTAACTAAAGTTGAGTCCATATCTAAAGCTCTCCTACAATCTTGACATGAAGAATCCCACCTCTTTAATTTGAGATGACACAAAGCTCTATTAGTGAAATATGTTGGCATAGTGGGATTTTTAATCTAAAATAATAACAAATGATGATATCACGAATATAACTAAAACTCAACATTTACTTGACATTCTTTTTAAAAGACTTACAATCGCTTTGGTGTAGCAAGTCACAGCATCCTCATATTTTCGCATATTGAAGTGCCTATTTCCCTGATCTTTGAGTTCTTTATCAGTTAAATTAGCTGTTGAATACATGTACTTGCTCATTTTGAGAGTGTATCAAGTGCAAAGAAAAATTTTAATAAAACAAATCCGAACAATTTTGTAAATAATACCAAACTATGACATCAATACGTCTGAGATCATAACAAACTACCGAACCTATTTAGTGCGAGTCAGCTGATGTCACGACTCAATGGATAACAACAGATAACCTGATAGGAAAGAGGGAAATCTCTCTCTTTGCCAAATATTACAGCTTTTCAACTTCGTTCTCAAAATATATCCAGGTATGTAAAACGTACTAGTTGACTAAACTCTCTTCACGAAGAGCCATTTCGGTTCATTATTTTTTCAAACTTTTGTAATCACCAAGAAAACAAATCTGCGCGCATCATACAACTTTCACTTACCGCTCTAAATTGATTAGAAATTATTTTCTGGCTATGTTAGGCTGTTACAAAATGTTTTAAGTGCATTCTAACGGAGCTAAGGCTTTAACCTTACAGCTAACAAAATTCTATTTATTATATAGACGGTAGGCAATAAAAACCTCGTAACTCCAACTGTTTTTGTAGACCACAAACTCCAGTCTCTGAGTTACATACCTAGAGAGATATGAAAGTACATCTATGTGTTTAATGAATAAATGGTTATGGATTGTACTACATTTTTACATAACCATTTATTCGTTAAATATACATATGTGCTACTAATATGCCTTCTATATGCAGATGATATAGTTCTCTTTGCAGAATCGAAAGAAAAGTTGCAAGAAGCACTGGTGTGATCGGAAGCGGAATTGCTACGGAGAGGAATGTCTATCAACGACTCATAAAGCAAGGTTATCTCTAATAATAATAACCTAGTTATCTCACGAAATGAAGAAGAAAATACTGAAATGCTATGTAACGGGGAAACCCTAGTAGTATTAATGAGTTCAACTACCTGGGCATCATCTTAAATAGCTCTTGTGGGATTTACTAAGAAATAGCAAACAGGATATGGTGAGATGTTAAGATGCACATATATAAGGCTATATACTTACCAGTCCTTACATATGGTGGTGAGAGCTGGGTGATGCTTAACAAGCATGTCAGCCGGATCGCTGGCGCAAAGATTAAGTTCTTGCGTAAAGCAGTGGGAAAGACAAGGCGGGACGGCGTCAGAGAGTAATTAGGGGTGCCTCCATTCAAGACAATTATGGAAAACAGACGGTTTGGACATGTTTGTCGAATGAATGAAATGAGAGAATCCAGAAGGACACTGGAAGCTAGACCTGCAGGTAGAAGACCACGTGACCGGACAAGAATTTCCTATCAGAAACATATTTAGAGGATTTGGGTAAAAGTGACAAGACTCTTGCAGAAATGAAGCAGCTCAGTAGCGACTGGGGAAACTGGCAGCGCTGGATCGAGGTCCCTCTACGCCAATGGGCTGGAAGAGGAAGAGAATGAAGAGGATTGTACTGTTACTAGTTATTAAACCGATGTTCAACTAAGTGTTAACAAGTAAGAACATCACGTTAAAAAGGGGTGCGAAATGGATCATCAAATAAAGAGGACATTGAGAAACTCGCTGAGCTTCTGATAAGAGGAGCAGAGCAAATAGGCCTACAAGAAAATGCATATAAAACAAAGTATATAATAATGTGCCGAATATTTCATCATAGGGTCTGTGCAGAAGGAGAATCGTTTCCAATAGAAGAAAAAAATCAAATACTTCAGCTCCATAATAACCTCAATGAATGCTAAATTTTGGCAGTATTGGTGCTATTTAATCTTGGATCTAGAGGATCAACAGGGTCGAAAACGATTGAATATCTTACTCGGTATCATTACATTAAAAAAAAAAAGAAAAACCTACAGATCTCAGCAGTGGTATTTATTTTCTTATAGAACTTAATTTTGTAAAGCTTTACTAAATATTTTAGCTTGGTATTATTGAATCAACTCTCAGATTTGTACTGCTTCTGAATCACTTAAAAATCAAAGACAAGAATGAGCTAAAATAATCTTTCTAAAACAATTAAGTATTATAAATAGATTGGTATTTCAAGATTTTCCTAATTTTTTATATACTTTGATGAATTATACAATACTGTATCTCAGACACCAAGAATAAGTATTTCGCTGAGAGTTGTGCCTATGCGGTCGAGTATTTTGTGTAGGCGTCAACGATCAATGTTCATGAGTACTCTGTCTAGTAGAAACAGGATTACTTTTTATGAATACTTGTAATTGGAAAAAAATTCAGACTACATTCGATACTTTGTCCGTTATATACCAGAAGTACTCATGCAGCATTTATGATATCAAATGTTAAACATGATTTATGAGATCAACTGTCCAATTTGCTTAGAAATTAATTTTCCATTGTTCAACTATTCCATCATGAATAAGAGGAATATTCATTTTTTCAACAGTAAGATACATATTGTGGTTGTCGAAGACCCTTTTTTAGAAGATGCTATCGGTTCCAAAATCGCATATCGATTTATTTTAACTTATCTGATTTCTACGATATGAGGGTAATTTGTTGTATTATTGGAGGTATAGTTTTTGAAAATAATATAGATTTATTTTAATTATTCGGATTTCTTCAACATAAAAAAAGGTATAAGATAAAAGGTCTTTTATGGAAAAAAATTATTGCTGGCGTTATGATAATACTATTGATTTTAAGATAACGTGCGTATATTGGACTTATCGAATGCTGAATTTTAGGAGATGGAATCGATTCCAAAATCACATATTAATTTATTTTTACTTTTCGGATTTATTCGATGTAAGGTTCGCCTTTTTGAAAAATATTACTATAATATGGCTTTAAGATTCAAGTGAATTCGTTAAGTTAATTTTTTTCGGATTTCTTTTATTCGATTTATCTTAACTTTGAGAAGGGGTCAAATATTACATTATCATGGAGGTAGTTTGTGATAACATTATCGATTTATATGATTGCGCAATGTTGTACTGATTTATTATAATGTTTGAAATTTCTTAGATACAGAATTCAGCCGGAAAGTTCCCTCCCCTCCTCCCTGTGATCCCACGACAACCTTGGCAACTAGGAGGCTTTCGGGAAGAATCGTGGTTCATGTGGAAAACGATACATTCTAGTTCTTTAAAACGCAGGTCCTAGTAGCAGTAAAAATTTAGGATTCGTCACTTCTCCATGAAATTCCCTTAATTTTTATACTTGGTTTGTCAAAATCCTTCGCCCCTGCTGCCGGAAAAGGGATCTGTACTACTATATTATTATTTGAGATCGGACCTTTGTGTAGTAAAAATCCGAAAAACGTGCAGTTTTTAACCTCGAAATGTGCAAAATCCTGCAGTAAAAACCCAAAATGTATAAAATTGTCTAATTTACAGATGAAAACTTGTAAAAAAAATCTATTTAATTTAATTTATTATATTAATACATTGAAATCCTATCAAACATTATTAAGCTTCTGAATTAAAATTTTATGTCACAAAAAAAAAATTAAATGTAACATTGAAAATTAAAATCCATATTACAATGAACTAACGACAGCAATACACAACCTCATGCCATAGTAAATTACAATTAATCTAAATGTTGAAGAAAGATAAATTTTAATAAAAATAAGGACTAACATAAATAATAGGAAATTTATAGATATTAAAAAAAAAAAAAAAAAAAAGGGTTCAATAATTACATATATTTGTTTAAGTTTCCCTTGAATTGGTTAATTGACTGGCAAACATAAAGGATGAAGTAATATAGAGGAACTTAAAAAGATTAAAGATGTGAAGGAAATGTATGTATAATAAATACCAGACCAATTGATTTTAGATATTTAATTTTAATTATACATAATTATAAATTGTCCACAATATAATTAAAACCTTATTTTTTAATTGAGTTAAACTTTACACTGTTATACGTTTCGAAATTCGTTTCTGAAAAATCGTTTTCTCTATCATTTAATACGTATTTTAATTGAATAAACTAGCGTTAAACGTGAACTGTCCTAAGAGGAATCATTTTGTAACAAGAACTGCTGCTTCTTTATTAACATTAAAATTTTTACCGTTAATGCAGTCGTTATATTTTTTAAGAGCGTCGTAATCTGTATTTTTTCTATCACACAGTATAATTTTTGAGATATATTTTTTCCTATTTCACTATTTATTTTTTAAAGATTTTCTCCTACATTTTCTATAATTTCAATTTGTTTACTAAGCAACAAATTTAGAGATTCTAACTGAGTTAATGTTAACGTAAAATTTGACATCTGAAAAATCAGATATTATTCACGCCATTACGATCTATATCTCCATCAAATCTGCTAATTGTCACTCTCATGACAAGTACAGACGAAGATCTGCTGAGAAAAAAAAAATGTTATTGTTGCCAAACTAATGATAGTCTATGATTCACTTCAGAGCCGAAAGGGATACTGAGAAAAGAGTGGAAATTCAAGTCAAAACAAGGAAAACAGTTTTATTGAATTATTTCAGACTTGAATTATTGTGTTTACTCCGTTCTTTGTTTGAATCTTTGCGTCACAGAATCATTTACCTTCCTCAAATTTAAATTATAAATTTAATATGGACAAGATAGTAAAATAAAAACGTAAATATTTACACAAGCACATATGCAACATATTTATAAAATATTTAATCAAGCAGAAAATGTGCAATTTAATGCAACAAAAATAAAAATTGTGCAATGTGAGCCAAAAATGGTAAAACGTGTAATTTCGGGCAATATAAAATTTAAATATGTTATTCTACAGATCCTGAAACAGATAGATATTCAACTCCGGGGTTTTTACACGTAATTGAATAAAATGTGCAATAATATGAAAATCCGGTCTCTAATTATTATTATTAATATTATCATATATATATATATATATATATATATATATATATATATATATATATATATATATATATATATATATATATGGGACGGGGTAGAAGTACGGGCTATGGCGAGAGATAATCAAAGTTAAGCAACGTCGAGCGTGGTTAGTACTTGGATGGATGACCGTCCACCAGGGAAAAACACGC